CATTAGTGACCAAAAGTATATCGTTCATCGCAATTATAACACAAATTACGATCCCGCTTAGCTTGTCTCTCAGCCGCTGATAATCTTCGAATAGGAATAGCTGGGATAGCGTCAGTGCTCTTTTTTGGTGACGGTAATAAGGCAACAAGTGCTGGTAATGTTGCCGGAGTTGGGGTACGTGACGTCCATTGCCGAGGAGCAGGTTTCTCCTCTGCAAATTGATCTTCAAAAAGCCGTGCTAAGGCAAAAGAGCCATGAAGATCCGGTGGCCGCATCGTCAAGACCGCACGTCTGATCTGGGGTTTTAATCCACTAATAAACATACTCTTCAACAGATCTGGGCTAACGTCGCGTAACTTGCTTGAGAGACTCTCAAACTGAATCTAGTAATCACCCACCCATCCAATTTGTGTCAGTTTTGTGAGCAACCCTGCAGTGTCTTCGAAACCGGTGGGTCCAAATCGATGCTGTAAAGCAACATTAAAATGCGCCTAGGAAGTGCACAAGCCATCACGATTTAGTCCTTGAAACCAACACGCCGCTGGTGGATCGATATGAAAGGAAGCAAGTAAGAGGCGCTCACCATTAGGAATCTGATGATAGAGGCAGTAACGATCCACCGCAAAAAGCCAATCAGTTGGATCGCCGGATGCAAACCGTGGAAAAGCTAACTGAGGACGCTGAGCACATGGTTGGTTTGTATTATCAAAAGCTGTTGCTGCATAATTCAGAGGTGTGGAACCCAGGATGCCGATATGAGCAGTTCTGACCGATTCAACCATTGTTTGCATTTCAGTGTGCAGATTAGAGCGAAGTAAGTGAACTTGCTCCCGAATCAGATCTGGAATGAGTAATTGCTGTTGTTGGAGTTCCGTGATCTGGTTTTGCAAATCCCGAGAACGTGCGTTGATATTCTCTGCCATGGATGAGCAAAGGAGAATCAATGAAAGCACCAATGTAGCGCGAAGGAAGAAAGAGCGGGAAGAAGAAGAAGATAACAAGAGAGAGAGATATTTGTGAAAGCTTTTCTGATTATCTTCTTCTATTCTGTATTTTCTTTATATATTCCTTAGTACAATTATTACTAATAGACTATTAAAATAACATTCCATAAAGAGTAATGTTTAAAGAGCCCAGTAATCATTTAAGCGTTTGGGCTGTTGGATAACTCTTTTGGGCCTAGTCGCTACACAATGTATATGAACAAAATGACAGCAAAGTAATGCATGGACAGAAATAAGGGGTTACCTCTCTCCTATGATCTCGAGTAATGATCTTATCTTCTTCAAAGAACCACAATGTTTATTCCTCTTTTTTACGTGGGGACCCACCACACCGGGGACTTAAGCTCTTCTGCAATATGTTGTTTTAGTTTCGCAGAACCCATACACTTTGCTCTCTGTTTACAAAAATCTCCTGACAGCATTCTAGATCAGCGACAATGGGAGGGGATGCGGCTTCGCAGGCACCGCGTCAGTACGCCCTGACACCACAGAGACGCGGCTGCGCAGGTGCCGTGTTCAGTTCAGCTACAACTCCCACGCCATGGCCGTTTGCATGTTCCATGGAACACGATTGTTTTATGAACGCATTTTAATACGGTAACCCACCTCCCACGTCATCATGCATTACATTGGTATATCCTTCCATCATGAATGTGTTCCGATGATACATTTTCAAAAACGAACTACTGGAGTCAAAAGCCCTTGGGACAAAAGTATTATTATTTCTTTTTTGGAAACATAGTATTATTTTTCTTGTTTTACGCACAACTCTACAAGTGTCCCTTCGATTGATTTTTTTTTTTTGGGCTCTTTCAAGACGAAGAATCTAGCTTGTGTGGAGCCGTGGAGGTACGAAGTTTTCTTGGTCAAACAATTGAATGAATACGTTGTAGGATAGTCTATGGGGTAATTATGTTAAAATTTTATGAATTTGATGTTTGTTATTTTAAATGACACAAATTATGTTATTTTAAGAGAGAGAGAGACACAATGAATGAAAATCGTGGGAGAGAAAGTAATTATTATTTTTTAATTTAAATTTTAAATAAAATTTTTTATGTCTCTCTTAAAATAACATAACTTTATGTCATTTAAAATGACAAATACTTTTTTCAAATTTTATGCCTATCTTTTTTTTCAGATAATGTAAAGAGAAAAATAAATATAATTTTTTTTACATGATCAAATAAAAATTTTAACACAAGAAAATTTATTCTCAATTATAGTCTTGCATTATGAAATCTGTACCCAAAATTGAAAAATAAAAAAATCTAACATTGTGAAAGCATGTATCCGTTTAAACCCAAAATCTATATAGACATCTCTACAAAAATAAAATAAAAATCTATATAGACACTGATTAAGGAAAGTTTAATACTTTTATTGCAGTACTAAATGTCTGTTTGAATTATTTTTTTAAATTAGAAGCTACTTATAAATAGAAGTTAGACCAAATAGATTTTGAAAAAAGCTATTATAATAAAAAGTATTTTTTAATAATATAGAAAAAATTAAAAGTTAAAAGCTTTTAGAAGGAGATTTTTTTTAAAAAAACTCTAATTAGCTTTTCTTGAATTGTATTTTTTTTTTAAATTAAGAGATATAGAAATAGAGAAAGAATTTTATTGAAATATGTGATTTTAAATAATTTTTAAGTTAAAATTGTTATATAATTACCAAATAACTTTTAATTTTTTTCAAGTTTTTTTTTTAGTTTTATCTTATAAGTAATTTATAGCTTAAAAAATAGAAGATTCCAACAGACACTAAGGAAGCGTTTGGTAGAGGAGAAATTTTTTTTTACCCGAGAATTATGATTTTCAGGAATATAATGAGAAAATGAGTTTTCTGTGAATGTTATCAAAAATTTATTTGGTAGACTAACATATTACTGGGAATATTGAGTTGATTTTCTTGATGCTATGTTTAGTTGTATTAAATTTTTTCTTGTCATAGAAATCTTAAAATACCACCTTTTGAATGGTATTCCTGGATAGTTTTTTCAAAATAATTTACACACAAAATAAAATCTCGGAAAAATTAAATTCTTGAAATAAAAATCTTGTACCAAACATGAATAAATAAAATTATCACTTTCAGTTTCCTGAAAATACTAAAAAAATCATTCTAACAAACTACCCCTAAGACACGTTGAAAAGGGCTATTTTTTTGTAATATGAAATGGAACCAGACCCGTATATGGGCCACAATTCAATACCGTAAGCTCTCGTGTCCAAGACAGTCTTAGGTGTCTATGACGCATAAGAAAGAGAGATGCCACTTTATCACAATTCAATCCCCTTCTCAACGAAAGGATTGGGATAAATGCGAATTACGTCAAGCAGCACAAGGTTTTGATTTGTGATAATCCATGGATTTCAGTGCGTGGATTCACCCTTAATCTACATTCTGCAGCAATCCGGGCGCTGATATACTATATTATAATATATTTTTATGGGGATGCAGATGACTATATCGTATTTCTATTTTCTACCCCTAGGATTAAGAAGGATAGATACGTATCCTCGTGACTCGTGAGCCATTTTCAATTAAGCAATCTCCACTACATTTTTTTAGTCTAAAAAAGTAACTTTTTTTTTTAAATTTTTTCACTAATTCATTAATTGATTGACAAATTCGATCAAGTCAGGACACAATTAAATAAAGTTTTCTTATCAAGTTGGTAACGTAAATGTATATTCAGAACTCCAATTTGATACAAGTAATTAAGTTGTTCCAACTTATTAAATGACAATTTTTTAACCGCATATTTTACTTTTAATTAGAATTTCTATTTTTATTGTTCTTCTTTTGAGCTTATAAATTTTCTAAAAGTGTGTTCTTTATTCAAGCTTATTTTTCTAAATTTTTTTAATACAAATGATTAATATGGGATATTTATTACATAACGGATGGATAACAATTGTTATATAAAATTACGGAAAAATAGTTTGACAGTGACCGCAAATAAGTTATCTGTAATTATTTTCAAAACGAAGTTATTTTGGTATTGAAATCTTAAAAAATTATAAATATAAAGACTATTATAACATGAAATAAATTAAAATTATAAAAATACCATAATTTTTGCCCCAAAACAACGTCGTATTAAGTTTACCGCAGATAACTTATCTGCAATAAACGCAGAAAAAACGTCGTATAAAATAATTAGGAAGTGTTCTGCTTTAAAATAACCAATTTAACTTTTATAAAATATGTGATAAAATCATAAATTTAAATCTCTTAATTTTTTATTTTTTTGTTTTCTCCCTTCTCTCTTTCTCCTTAGGATTTTCTCGCCTTTATATCTATATTATTAAGTTCATGGAAAAAATAATTAAGCAAAACAAATTAAACATATATTATAAGAAAGAAAAACGTTGTTAATTTTAAAAATATAATTTTATGTCAATTCAAGCGAATGACTATGTTTTAATATATATTTTTAATTTCTTTTTTACGTTTTCTCTCTTTCATAATATTATTCTTTTGTCTTTCCGCTTAAATTGTAGTATAAAAATAATAAAATATAATTATTTTGTTTAAAATAATATAAAATTATGTCCTTCCAAATGATAAATATTTTTTCTTATTAATATGATTATTTTATAATATAATAGATAAACACAAAATATATTTTATTAAAATTATTAGGTAGTGTGTTCCTATAAAACAACTTATGTAATAGAGTCGTAAAGCATCTAATAAAAATATATATTTAAAACTATTAATTTATTCATCCTTTCTCTCTCTGCCTTTAGGATTTTTATTTATTTTTTTGGGTAGAATTTTTCTAGAGGATTTCTTCCCTTAACTTACGTATTAAATCATTTATTAATAGAAAATAACGGGGGTAAGAATAGAGACTTTTCAAAAAAAAAAAAAATTCAAAAAATGAATTGAGAAAAGAGATAAGACAGAAGCAGATGTAGACACAAGATAGGTGTACAAAAAGGCCAGGTTACGTGCCACTCTCAAAGTAGTGTGCCATTTCCATCCATAAAAATCACCCAAATTGTTAAATCTATCATATCATTGTTGGAACTTGGAAGCATAGCGCTGCATCTTGAACTTGGGGGGCTTTTTTATTTTTCTGATGCCAGCCAGAATCTCAGCAGTAGATAATAGAATCTTGTACTATCTCATCATTCAGAATCTTTAAGCCCTTACAATATATATAGAACAAGAAGAATCATTTGAGGAGGGCAAATTAAGATGTTGGAAGGAAAAGCTATGGTGAAAGAAACTGACATGCCGCTGAAGATGCAAATCCAAGCTATGGCCTCTGCTTCTCAGGCCCTTGATCTCTATGATGTTTCTGATTGCATCTCTATTGCAGCATATATCAAGAAGGTTCTTTCTTTTTTTATTTTCCCCCTAAATTGAATTGTGGTTTTGACGTTAATATGTTTCATTTATTTATTTTTTATTTTATTTTTTTTCCATTGATTAAATGGCGGTGGTGTTTGTTTTTTCAGGAATTTGACACGGTGTATGGGAGTGGGTGGCAATGTGTGGTGGGATCCAATTTTGGGTGCTATTTTACTCATTCACCAGGAACTTTCATCTATTTTGCTCTGGAAACACTTAATTTTCTTATTTATAAGGGTAACTCTTCTTGATTTATGTACAATCTGAGACAGGAAGGAAACAGGGTTATCAGAGAAGCATCTACAATATCAAGGAACTGATTTTATGCCCTTGGAGTGATTTTCTTCCATGTATAAGCAGATTATATTAGTTGTTGCATTGCAGCATGGAAGAGCTATGTATAGTTGTTGCTCTATCAAATGTAGCTTTTCTGATACGAAAGTGGGCCAAGGACTATTCAGTGAATGTGTACGTAGTACTGTCACGTGCTGAGTAGAGTAGGAAGTAGCTTTTGTAAATAGGAAAGTGAATAAGGCTTGTTTTGTAAATAAGAAAGAGAAGAGAGCTGTTATTAGCGAGATTTACGGGTGAAGTAACTCTATACATAAGTAAATGTAAACTCAGTTTAATTACCAAACATGCAAAATACGGAATCGGTCTTTGTTCATTTCGTTTTCGTTCTTTCTCTTCCGATAGGATTTGCGTTCCTAACATTATCGACTCTAGATTCTCCTATATGAAAGTGTATTAATCAAGCCATAATTAAAATGCTACCTGTGCTCTTTGTGTGTCAATTTTTTTTTTGTGCTTTATTCATTTTCCCTACCCCACCGGGCCACCACCCCCCTTTTTTCAAGAATATTCATTTCTTCCTCTTAGAAAATAGAACGACGGTTGCAATTACCACGCAGTCACATGATGTTATTCGAAAATTTTAGCTTGGATAACAAGATTTTCGTTATTTTTAACCAAAAAAAACAAAAACAAAAGGGATTGAAAAGCACAAAGAAATTTTATGCTATTTGAGTATCACTTGTGTATCTGGAACTTGCTTTTGTTTTTACCTCTCTTTTTTCCCTTCTTTTTTTCAAAATGGATTTTCTATTATAACATAAGCTAGCTCTTTAAAAATATTACATTAAGAAATGGTACAAATAGTTTCAAATAAATGACAAAAAATATATTTTGTGCTTTGATGTCCCTGGTAGTTGGTTTTTGCTATTACTGTTTAGTTAGCTCGGTAGTGGAGAAACAATCAGTTACATGGTGTTGAAAATAACGGGAAAACATACAAGCTACATGGTGTTGAAAACATACAAGGTGCAGTCCGTAGAGAGTCTAGTTCGTGAGTATACACAAGCCTGTATAACTTCTAAAGGGACAAAGCTGACCAAGAATTACATTTTTGTTCCTATTAGATGGTTATCTCTGGACACAGGTTGGGTGAAATTAAACACGGATGGTGCAGCCAGGAGTGATGGCAGAGGTGCTGCTTATAAAGGAATTATAAGAGATGGAAATGGTTATTGGATAGGAGAGTTTGCTTACTATATTGGCCATTGTTTAGCTTTTGTTGCAGAATGATGGGGGTGTCCTCAAGGGTATTGAATTTGCTTGGGCTAGAGGTTGGAGACGTTGTATCCTAGAAAGTGATTCAAGCTCAGTTATCACTTTACTCTCCAGAAGTGGAAGAGCAGCTCGAGAGTCTCGCATAGTGACTCGGATTCGAGTATGATTACAAAAGAATTAGGAAGTTCACCTGGTTCATGTTTTTAGAAAAGGAAATAATTGTGCAGATTGACTTTCTAAATATCCTTTAGACTACTATCTTGTTGAGAATAATTTTTGTGTTTTTTCAAACCCTCCCCTGGTATTTAGCCTTGGTATTGGGCTGATTTGTCTTTGTCTTGTAATTTCAGAACGATTTTATTGAATTAATCTCTTTGGGGCGTAGTTATTAACCCCCTTAGATTAAAATAAATGACAAATCAAACAAGACTGCAATTGTGTAAGAATACTACTAGTGGTGAGTTGCAGTTGAAATTGTATCTTAATTTTTACTTATTTATTTATTTTTTTGAATAGAAGAGTTATACATATATATTTAATGATAGTATTATATTATATTATTTATTTGATTTAACATTTTTGTAATTGTTAATATAAATTAACTCATTAAATGAGATGTTAATTAATATAAATTTAAATTTATTACATAAAAAATAAAAAAAAAATTCTTGTTTCATTCAAGTGTTGTGAAATGTCTAATGGTGCATGGTGTTTAACTGATTTATTTGTTTTTCAAATTATTCTATATCTAATAATAGAAAAATGTTTGTCCTGTCTAGGCGGATTGGATTAATTATAATAAATTTGATGATTAAATCATAATTGATTTATATAATTAATATAATAAGGCGTAATAAAATTGGACATAATTAGTTAACACTTAATAAGTTTAATCAGTGTCTGAACTTTAAAACATTGATATAAATTTACTTGACATAAAACCTGTCAAAATAAAATAATAAAAAAACACTGGATTACATAACAAAGAAATGAGTTAGATTTTGATGCATCAAGGGTAAAACTATTTTAATTTGGTATGCATTAAAAGTCCAAATAAATTTTATATTGATATTTAACAATATTTTGATACATCATCATTTATTATTATTATTATTTGTCATTAATTAAAATAAAAAATAAATAAAATGTATAAAATTCCATATATGTCATACTATGTAATCACAAATTTATAATAACGTCCTCAATCCAAATTACAAGCAAGCAGGTTCTCTACTTTATTGACAACTAGCTAGCTACGTCTCATCTGCAGAAAATCCATGCCTCCAAATCCTTGATATCAGATGATCCTTCCAACCAAAATTACTTAAAAAACAAACACCTTTCGGAGTGCCTCAAATAGAAATATTTGCTTATAATGTTTGATTCTTTAATTTATTTATAGAATTAACATTAAACTGCCAAACATGAAGAATACAAGGGAATATTTGTAAAACAAGATAAACCAAGATGACCATAGAAGATGAATAAGTTCTCCAGTTTTTCATTGGGTTCGTTTTGTACGTCCTATGAGCCATAAGATGTCACTACCATTGAAGGATCTTCTGTGGCGTCCAACCTTCTTGGTACTCTACATACAAAGCCACTCACAATCAGAAATCCATGACAGAGTGATCCCAATTTATTATGCATATCAATCATCAATGTGTCACGAACAGCATATAGAGTACACACTTACTTGGAAATGAAATGTAGGATTTGGAACCTTTGTTAAGACTGACAAACCGTCCCGAACAGGTACTGCTATTTTTTTAAGATAGGGAGTGGAAAAGAAAATTATGTTAGAGATGCAACCCCAAAGAAAAATTATGCACAATAACAAAATTAATTTTTTTCGTTTTAGTAACATAATATGTTACCCATGGCCAAATTGTTATTGTGTCCGTTAAGTGTAGCTGTGGTTGGAGTCAAATTCTGAGCTGGACGTGGCTTGTAGGTGTACATAAAAAGTGGCAAATCTTCATGTGCCTTGGGTACATGATTATCCTCTATCTTTGAAGCAACTTGACTTTCACTACCTCTGCATTGGATTTGAAAAAAATCAAACTAGTATCTAAAATATCTTTCATTTTCATAGATGAGTGTGCCATATTAGGCATAGAACACATTACATTGTCACGTCTGCGAGGGACCTATTTTTTTGTGTGTATGTGTGTGCATAACGTCACTGTTAAATTATTAAATTCTTGAGGATATTGAGTAATGGAGATGTACCTTATTAACTTTTTACTGCTTGAGCTCCCAAGGGGAGGAGCTGATCATGGAAAGCAATTGAAAAAAATAAAATAAAACATGAATTAATTAGATAAATGGAAAAAATGTTAATGGTACAATGTAATTGATTTAAATTAGGGTGGTAGCGCATGAAACATTTTACTTGACGATAAATAACGCGGATGGAATCTTGGCACATTCTCACTCCATTGCATTCTTGTGAGGCCAGCTTTTCGAGCATATTGTTCACACGAGACAAGTCTCTATCAAGAAGCATAATCTTTAATTAGATATCGTTTTTGTTAAGAAAAAAACAACAAATGTGTTGAGCCTGATGATTTTTAAATTAAGGCATTTATTTAGGCAAATTCACAAGTTTCATATATATAAGTAACATCCTATTATCTGCATTCGGGATTTGTGCAAAGCAATACTAACTTGTTTTAGGCATTGGATTCGTAACTCAGCATCAGAAAATGCATTTGTCTGAGAAATAAGACCTTCGAGATTGGCCGAGACGTTTCCAAGATGATCAACAACAGTGACCATGGTCCTGCAAATGTAATCTTTTGTGTTCTCCAGCACACTGCGACATTTTCAAATTCCAAATTGTCACGTGTCAACATATACAGCAAGCACGGAAAAAAGTAAGAGGAACGAAACAGCAAATAAATTACCAGACTTTTTTAATATTCCGAGGGTGTTAATTTTAATTATTTACGTTTGGTATAAGATTTTTAAAAATTTTCTTGAAATTTTATTTTATGTGTAAAATTTTCTGAATACCATCCAATCTTAAATTTTCATGGCATAAAAAAAAGTAAATCAACATTTCTAGAAATATTTTAACCTACCAAATAACTTTATGATAACATTTTCAAAAATCATGATTTTCGGATATTTTTTTTTTTTCTCATTTACCAAATGCCCCTAAGAGTTTATTCCACTCCAAGAATGAATCATGCACATGTGACTTGCTACTTATTTGTGCTAATTTTCTTTAATAATATTTAATTATTTATTAATAAAAAGAGAATAATAAAGATTAAATTTATAATTATTTAATCCACAAGCTCATATATCATGCAATTCAACCTAAAAGTTTAGCATATTTAATAAATATTATATTAATAGTTTTATTTATATTTTTTTAATAATTCAATCTAATTTATTAACTTTTGAGTTAACAAATTAATTCATATGGCCACCAAAAAAAAAAAAAAATTCAAACTAAAGACAATTTTTTATAGAATGTTATTCGAGTCTACCAAATTTATCAATTTTTGAAAGGATGAAAAGGTCATATAACAATGACCTTATTATTATGGATAGTAATGAAACATGCTGAGTTGAAACTTGAAAGTTGAAACAACCAATTATACTTCAGGATTGACTCGATAAAAATAAGGTTTGACTAGAGAGGACTCACTCAGTCTTCTCTTCGCTTTTCGAGAACGTAGTTTCACAGTAATCTGCAGCATTGTGTAGTTGACACCGAAGTTCTCTCAGTTCCTGCAACCACCATGAACAACGATTCAACTTTTCTGAAAAACTAATATGACATAGCTGAGTATGAATATGAACCTGAAGAGACTTGTCAAAGCGCAAGCTTTCTTCTGCCTCAGCATCAGCTTCTGCAGGTTTTTCATGGAAAGAAGACTTGAAATTCATCTCCATGATATTGTTACTGATTCTGGGGATGAAATAACAGTTGGGGTATAGTGACTAGTGAGAATAATGCTTGTAAATATAAGCTCTAATAACAGGTTTTTCTGAATGAGGCTTTCGTTTTGTTCAACTAATTATAAGAGGGAGAAAGAGGGTTCATGCAACTTTTGGAGGCTCGTGATATGGTAGAACAAACAAAACTCCTTATAAGCACAAAACAGATTCTGCAACCCTTGGCCAGTCAGCACACACAATATAGAGGATGATGACAAATAAACAGTTTCAGTCCCGTGATATTCTGTTTCTTACCTTTTTGCATTACTAAATAAAAAAAGAAAATCATTGTCTCATTTTACATGAGATTATCTCATGTTTCTCTCACATAAAAAGCTGTGTCATCACTTTTTTTTTTAATGGATAGTGGATTCCACTATATCATCTGTGTATGGTAGGAGATACTTATATCCAACGGCATAATAAAAATAGAACCCAATAAAAAAAGGCAAAGTAATGGCTCAAAGTTTAATGTAATGACAGACCCTAGTCCCTACCAGCACTTCATTCGTTTAAAAATTGACAATCATGTAATTAACAGTAGCTTTAAACTACTCAGTGAGATTGTCATCTGAGTTTTCTGATAAAAACAAGTTACATACATGTCGATGCTGTTACTTTTTTTCTTTTTCTTTTTTTGGTAAATCGTCGATGCTATTACTTAAATAATGCTGAGGAATTCGAAATCTATGATTACTTGTTTCTTTATATTTTAAAAGGCACATGACCTGTTGGAGAGCTTATTGGGTATGACTCAAACAGCACGTGCACATGCAACGCCTTCATGTGAGCGTGCTCCCCTAGTGCTCCTTAATTGAGTGAATGGTTATTATAAACAGAATATGGCAATGAATAACCTCAAAAAGTTTAGTTCCGAAAAGAGTAGTATATGAAAGGAAGAACTAACGATAGTTGTTCTTACTACATGACTAGAACATAGAAAACTAATAAACCATAAGGAGTAATCGGTAGGAGAGCGGAAGAGGTGGCTTGGTAGAGACCAAACCTCAAATATCAACAGCACACAAGTTTTAAAGTCTTGGTCGGTACATATTGAGTTACAAACTAGCTGACAGATTGACCACGTTTATTTATATGTTGTCTAGTAAGGTATGCTTCATGCAGATGCTTTTTGTTCAAATTTGATTTAATTATGAATTGTTAACATGTTATAGAATCATGACAAAGAACCGTTTAATTAAAACTTCAAGTTATTTTACAGCAGTTAAAGATTTACTTTTCGTGTCTAACACTACTAATTTCTGTCACTCGATTGATGTAGGTTAAGTCATTGAATACTGCTAACACTTACTTTCCGAAGAATGTTTTTTTTTTTTTTTGCTAAACAATTAAACTACTAATCAATCTCTATGTCGTCTCATGTGCGAGCAGCGATTAAAAAGTTTTGAATGGAAAACATTATTTTAAATTAGAATTTAGAACTACACCTTAACCTTTATATTTCTCCCTGCAATATAAAACTAAATTGGAGCTTCAGACCGGTCCTCTCAGTTAATTTTCCAATGTATAGCTCAAGATAATCAACTCAACAGGAAAGGAAACTTTATATCTGAAAATCAATGGTACAACCACCAATCAACTCTGGAGCCTCAATTTCAGAGAATATGGAGTTATAATCTGAGGATACAGATGCTAAAAATGTATCTCTCAGATTTTTGTACAATTCTCGAGGTATTTCCTACATTTCTTCGCTGTTGACAATATTATGATGTTGCAACTCCTTTGCAAACGCAATTCTAGTAGCTGACCTTGTTCATTCCCCATTTTGCAGGGGTTTAGAGTCTAATGAAAGGAAGGGAAAGGGAGGAGGGCGTCAGTATAACTTCCAAGTTAATTCATCAAATTTATATCCAATGTTAATTTTCTACAAGGAATAACTTTGCAAATTGCAATAGATAAATAATACATGAAGTGATTTTTCCCAAGTATAGAATACAAAGGTACAAGAGGACGAATTGGGAGCATTCCTAAAGCTACTTCTTGATGACAAAGAGGTCACCGGTTCAAATTTAGGAAACTGCCTCTTCACAAAAAATTTAAAGACAAAACTGCATACAAGGATTACTCTCATTCCTATCCTTGCAAATCAGGGTACCATGGGGAGTGTTTTTTTCTAAAATAGAATAGAATACAAATGTAGGCATCAAGTTGTGAAATCGTGCATGGATGCAAAGCAGAAATGAACACTGAAATTAACTTCAACGGATGATTCTGAAGTATGTCATACTGTAATAGAAATCTTCCTAGTCATCACAGATGTATATAAGGCTAAATGACACTTTCATGCAAACATTATCCAAGGGTCATAGCCTCAAAGTTGAGTATAGTTAGGAGGAAAGCTTAACCAGGGAATAAATATTGAGAAGAAATGACAAGGACTTAACAAGATAGATCATTTCCTTTGTGCTTGAGCTACCCTCAGTTTTTTAAAGTTACCAATAATTAAGTTAAAAAAACTGGTAACTCCCTGAGAAGTTCATGGCACTCTGATTCCTTTTGTATTTTTTCGAGGAAATGAAATGAAATTTCTATTTTTCTTTCTATTTGTATCAGTACAATTCAAAACCTCCCCTAATCCAATTAAAAGGGACTTTGAGGTAGAGGATTTCAGCCCTTAGAACAAAATGTAATATGAGGGATCTCAATTGAGAAGATGTGACAGTGCATGATAAAGGAAAAGAAAAAAAAGCACACAAAAAGAAACCCTAGATAAACATACAAAAGAAAGACTATCAAAGTTACATGAACCTTCCACAAAGGAAGAACCAATCAAGTCAATTTTGTGTTTTCTCTTCACCTCGACACAAGCTTCCTGTAAAAAATGAGAGCAACATAAATTTAGTGAGTAACAAGTTTTCATATTTTATTCCCTGATCCTGACTATCTGAACTTCCAGTGCTTTTAGAAATTACACATCACAAGTTAGCTGAGTGTATATTATAGTGAATCCAGATGTACTTACCTATAGCATCTGTTCTAGATTAGAGCATATGTTATGAACAGTTAATACAAGAAGCATTAGAGAACCTCTGGAAAATTATGAATTTTTACTATATACTATGTACTTGGATAATGAATTAGTTTCTATTGCTTATAGTTTTATTGTCGAAGTTTAATTTTTCTTTTAGAAATGTCAGTATGCACACAAATCATGATGTTGATATCAGTAATTTCATTGAATTGAAACAATACTGAAGACAATATATAGTTATAAAAGTAACCATGTAAATGTGAACCAGATACAATCCTCAGTGAGTGTGCCAGCAACTACCTTCAGATGTTGTTGAAGAATCTTTGCAAACCGTGTCTAGTTTAGCACGGGTAATGCACAACCATCGTCTTTCTGATTCATAAGTAAGCTCTGTTTCAATTGGTATATGCCAGTGGCCCTCCTCTGATTCCTGCTACCACAATTGCCATGTTATATTTCCTTCTTTCTTTCTTTCTTTCTTTCTTTACATCGATATTGTTTCAACTTCAGAATTATAGACAAAAATATAATATAATTTGTATTCATGTTCCGGCTGTTTTGGAAAAGTACAAGAGCTTTCCAGTAATATATTTCTTACCTGAATTACAACAGAACAAGAAGGGGGCATGTGAAACTCTGGACCAGTATCAGAGAAACTGAAGCGTACCTAAAATTTGGAAAAACAGGGATTCCAATGTTAAGAATAACCTATTCGTAAATTGCAATCAAAGAAAGGAAAATGAAGCCAAGAATTATACATAATTAAATCAAAGACCATAATTTAAACCTTATTTCATAAATATATACAATCAGCATGACAACAAGAACAAAGATCTGACATAAAAATTTTCTTTCTAAAGAGCTTTCTCACCTGATGTCTTTCTTTCCATTTGGGGAAGAAGTCATTTCCTAGAAGTTGAAATAGATGATCTCTCATCTCATCGTTGGTAACAATTAAGCATTTAAATTTTATAGCTGCATACAGCCAGTACCTGAAGCACAGGTTAGTAAATGAAGCATTTTGACAATATATTATCCCATTTTGTTCTTACCAGTCATCATTTGATCCAGTAGGCGTTGCATAGAGTGCATCAGCATTATTCCACTTATCAATTAATGCCCTATTGATTGGTTCATCCATTTTGTCTCCTTTGATACGCTTATTATGCAAAATAATAAGCGGAAACTTCTTTGAAGGGAGCTTTTGGCGTATTCCATTGACAACAGAATTGATCTAAAAGTTTCACCTCAGAAGAAAATAATCAATGACCAAAATAAGAACAACATACAGAATTAAAAAAAAAAAAAGAGAGAGACTATTTTCCACATTCAGTAACTTGCCTTGGATGGCATGAATCTCCTTTGGCCGAAAAGACCTACATTTGCAGCATCTACCACCGCTTCAAAAGGTCCATGGTAGTCAAGCCATTTCTGCAATTCACAATTTCATATATTCCATTTCATGAATCAATAATTAGATCACAAATAATGTGCATTATTCAAGTTTCTTACTTGAAATTTCTGAAAGTTTGAATTTTTCTCTCGCATTATTGCAATGGATGCAACTGACTTGGCAAAATTCTCAGTTTCAATAGGATCAATATCAATAGTGTCCAAGTGCACCCCACAGCATTTACACATTCCATCATTTCCAATGGTTGTATGAAGAACTTCCCATTTTCCCTTACCCAACCAACCTTGCCCATGCCAGCCCCCACCATTATTTTCTATTGCTTCCATTATTAATCTTTTATCCCATTTTCTTTTCCCTACTCTCGAAGCATGTTTGCTATTAAACCAATCAATAATCAAATATGCAGTAGAGGGTGAGACTTTCCTTACGTTACTTCTTAATTTATGCAACACATAGTAGACCTTATCACCCTTGCCAGCTCTTATGCTCACTCTTAAGAGTGCCTCCAACTCAGGTTCTTCAGGGTAGACACCATGTTCCAGCATGTGCTTTTCAACAGCAAATGCTTTATCTATTTCTCCATCATTGCAATAGGTAGATAGAGCAGGACCATAAGACCTTAACCTAGGATTTATCCCCAAGAACTTCATTTGCTTCACCATCTCAAAAGCCATGTCACCATCACCCATTGACATGGCCATTCTAGCCACAGATGTCAAGGCTGCTTCATTCATTTGGACCTTATCCTGACACATATTCTCATACACTTCAAACCCTCTCTTTAGTGCATATTTCTTGACATCCTCACTCACCAGGATCCCTTGGTCTTCTTGGTTGCTTGAAACATGTTTTACAAATGAAGAATCATTTGTAAAGGGGTTGGCTTCTCTCTTCTCCGATTTCTCAGAGGCATTCAAAACTGGATTGTCCAACATGGCATTACTAAAATATCTGTCTTTTCTGTCTATTGATCCACATTCAGTGAGGTCCTCGCTAGTCACAACTTCATTGGATGAGACTAATGCATTCAAAGTTCGAGCACCACTTCCACTTTTGGCTGGTTGAACGACACCAACAGCTGCAGAAGAACAAAGGTACAATAGAACTGTGTATTGGTGTTGCCCCAATTTGACACCTTGTGACCTTGCTGAATCATACAAGGACAATGCTCCCATAACATCCCCTCTTTTAGAACACATATCCAAAGCAACCCGCAACTTCGCTTGTGGGGTATCCTTATTCTTCTTGTCCACCAGATTTTCATTTGGCTTCTTCTTCACTCTCTCACTAACCCTGTAACTGCTACTACTAGCTTTTGAGTCCAAAGAAACCCTTCTGGAGAAGCTCCTAACGGACACAGTTCCAGTTTTGTTTGTTTCATTGCAATTGATGGTGTTGGTTGAAGGCCAAGTAGATGAAAAACCGTGTAAGGTGGTTCTGAGAGAATGAGAGAAAGACAGAGATTGTTGTAAATGTAGAGTGTTCAAGTTTAAGGTAAAGGTGGCCATGTGTGGCCGTTCCCTATCCGATCTTGATATGCTTTTCTTTTTGTTATCTGATAACCTAAGCGACAAATTAAATTGATTTAAAAATGAAGTTATTTTAAAAAAGGAAAGAGTTTCTTTTCTAATAATAAATAAAGTTATTTTTTACAATCGTAAAATGACGTTTTTTTAAAATTTAAGCAGGGTATTTTAAATATTTTATTTTATTCTTGTGTCATAAATTTAATTATAATATTTTTTTTAAAATCTCAAAATAATATCATTTTAAATTATAAAAGATAACTATATTTTATCGTAATCTCAAAAATGGATAATGTCCTAAACAACAGGCCACGAAGTAAATCACTCAACCGATAAATCATTTTTCATCTTTAGAAAAATAAAAAATAATTGATGTTAACTGAAATGTTGAATTAACCTTCATTGGAGTCTTTTTTTCCTTGTGGAATTTGTTTCTTCGGTGGTGTACTTTTAAATTTAGATTCCTAATTCTTTAATTTTTTTTGGTTAGAATACATCTTTATGCAGTTAAGAAAATGGTTTGATATTTAATCGAAGCTAAATAGCTCAATTGACAATTAACAGTTATTGAGTTCATGCGTGTCTAATATCAATTGACCTTAAATTGATTGAAAATGCGAGTAACAACAAATTAAGGATGCTCCTCCAACAATGGATAATGTGCCGAAACGTCCATTGTACTTCGAAACTCATCAACACAATTTCTAGAATTTACCAAAGTTGGAATATTGGCTCCCTATATAAAATTATTTTGCACATACACGAGGGTTATGTTAATAACTTTAAAAAAGAAAAAATTAAATAAAATTCTGCACCTGACTATAGTTGGTTGGGAACAATTTTTGCTTTCATCGACATTGATACAAAAGATTGATAATGCAAACCAACGGGTTGATAAAAAAAAAAAAAAAAACACCACCAACCAACGATTCCACCTGTGTCAACCAAGGATGCAGAACCTTTGCAGTATGTAACAATGAATTCCTCAAAGGATCATAGACTACAATATCGTATCTGGTTTGACAATGATTTAAAAATACCATAGAACTGTAGTAATCAGGGAAACGCTGACAAGTAAATGGATTAAATCCTCAGATATAATGCACTTTAATGCATTATTAGTTGACAAAAAAACTCATCCAGAGACTAGACAAACCAAATAAAGATATTCCATAAACATATGAAGATATCATGAATCAACCCAATAAGTAAGCAACATCAGTTGCAATGCATGTTCCTCAAAGATTTCAGATGAAGGATCCTATGTCAAATACCTCAACATTACAACAAAATGAAATCAAGAACATGAGCCCTTGTCCGCCATCAAATGGAAATGCTACCTTGTAGCAACTAACCTCAGACAAATAACGTCATAAAGGCATGGAAATACCTGTAAAATAGACAAACAAAAGTATTGCATAAGTTCTTTCCGTTCAGCTATTAAAATTGGTACCTCAATTTAGATGGAAAAAAGTGCTATGTAGTATGTTCAATTATCTTACCAACTAGGTGTTTTAACTTTTAAAAACAATGATTCCTCAAAAATCTACACTGAAGTGATACTTAAATCAAAGCTAGCTATTAACTCATTCAGGCTACTTTTCTCCTTCTAACAAAATAATAGGGGACACGGTGATATTTCATTTTGTTGAGCTACAAAAAATAATTTTGTATAATTTGTCTTTCTGTGGCATGACGTATCTCTAGTTAACACTCATACTGTGGGAGTCACTTCAGCAAAACTTCATTAAAATCGTACCAACATGATTTATTTTGGCATTTTTTAAGTCATAATTCATAATGCAACTATCATAATCTTATTTCTGTGATATGACTAACAATGCCTTTTTATTCTTTTAATTATAGCATTAGATCCAAGGCTTCCAAAATTTAAAAGCAAGGGCTCAAATGAAAATGATACGCCCAATTTATTAAATAATTTAGAAGAACTCTTTGCTCCTATCCCTTGGTTTCAGCACAAAATTTTCCTGGAAAACATGCCTCATGTTCAGTTACACCAAAATAAATTCTATACAAATCTAAATACTTCCAAATTCCAGGTGCTGATAATATGGGATAAAAGGGAAACATGATGGATATAAAGTTCCTGACTTACTGTTATTTGCAGGGTTGAGGGAAGCGTATGACCCATTGTGTGCTGATATGGTATATACTATCAGAATTATACAATGAAGCTCTACCTCTAACCAACATGAAACTAATAGTTCGGTCATACAAACAGGCGAGGAAGCATTTTCAAACATTATAATCCATGTCTTCTTGAAAGACTAATTAAATCAGGCCTAGTCATCCAAATTATGATTCAAATTCATAAAGCAATGGGCAATAGAGTTTTAAACTAAGAGTAAGATTGTACGCAATACAAGATATCAAGTATTTAATTTCCCATTAGAGTAATTAAAAAAAAAAAAAAAACACTATCCACAATTGAAGATGCAAATTGTGTGCAGTGCTAAGAGTACTGGTAGAACATTCTTTTCCTCAAATTCCATGTCGCATATGTTGTTGTTATGCCACAAATCCACAAACACATTACTCAAAACACATCAAATATCATAAAAGAACGCACCTTGAGGAACCAATCCCCAGCCCAGAGACTCTATGGACAAACTTGATACTAATCGAGCCGAAGCTACCGCGCTATGCAACGGCATCATTGATTCGCAGCTACCCAACTCCACTGGTAACCTAACCAACCAAATTGCAAAAAGTATAATTAAAATAAATGAATTACAAAATCCCATTTCTCAAAAACGAAACTTTAATGTAAAAAAGTAATCTTTTTATAAATGGGTGCATCGAGAGTCTCACCGGGAAGTGGGAGACAAGCGACGCGCGGTGGCAGAGAGAGGAGGGGTGGGTTTGAGGTGGAAAAGGTCCATAGAAAGTGATGGTTTGGTTAACTTGTTATGAGCATGAACCTGTAACCGACACGACAACCTACACAAAACCTTTGATGTCGCCATTGTTGTTCAGTTCAGCTCTTCGCGCTGCCAATGTAACACTATGTAACCTTCGCCGCCACTTTGCTTTACCAGATTCCTCGGTCCTCACTGCAACGATGTCGTTTTGGTACAACATATCCATTTATTTTATTTCTTCTTTTTTGGCAATTTTCTCTTTTATTTGCAAGTTGCAACATCTTATCAGAAACATTCATAATTTAGAAAACTGCTACTCTACCTCCTTTCTAATAATTTTATTTTTTTGTTTTGGTATCCTCCTTTCTAATAAATTAATTACAGTTATACTTCAATTTATATAGATTATAAAATTATTTAACAAAGGATTAAATATTTCTTTTGTCAAAATGATCTCATCATAGAATTAGGAGAAAACAAATTTAATTATTAAAATTAATATATCCTTAGAAAAATTAGAATTATAAAAATATTTTTATTCGGATCTCAAAACGACATTATTTTACGAAGATAACTTATATCCGGTTACATAATAAACATTAAACCTTTTAACAAATGAGTGAAAAATAGAATTGGAAGTGTTTACAATTCTTTACCGAATCTCAAAATGATATCATTTTAAAATAACCATAAATAAATTATTTCATGAGATAGAAGAAACATTAAATTTATTTTTTTATATAATTTAATTTATATAAAAAGTTGATCCTTTTATATATTTTATATTTTTATTAATAGAAGAAAGTTTAAGTGGGGTTAGACACCTATATTCCACCATTGTCAGCGAAGACCTTCCAACATCTTTAAGGATTTTTGAGAGGGATTACGTATTACCCATCAGCCAACGGGGTTTGAACTCACACTCTTATGAAGTACGGGTCAAACTTTTAGCCAATTGTTGTTGCCTTTATATATTTCATATTACTATAGGTAAATTGTAACATCCTCTTTAACTGGCTAGCATAAAAGATATCACATTACTTCTTAAATCTTATTTTAAATAAAAAAAAATGAGAATTATAAAACAATAAAGAATACGAGATTCTAAAGCAGCGAATATAAAAGAAATACCCTTAAAATTTAATTATATATTAAACAATCAATCAAGTTTACTAGTACATATGGAATAGGCTAGATTATATCATTATCTAAACTGAAAGAAAACATTTCTACTTTATTGGGGTAGAAAACTAAAGTCACTCCACATGTACACAAAATCACTCTGAACTTTATATGGTCCTCAATGTCTTTACTTATGGTGCTTCATCCTACTCCAAAGATACACATACTGATATGCTTACTTTATGAAAAGGTTATCATAACCATAAACACACATGAGATAAATCTCAATAATATTAAAAATTTCAAACTATAACCAATCCAACCACGTTACAAGAAAATATCATCTCTCAAAACATGTTTATAATAAGAAAATAATAGTAGGAATAACAAGCAGAGAAAGGAACATGTAACCTTTAACTGAAACTATTAAAGCCCAAACTTTTGTGGGTCTCTGCATGTAAAATGTTCTATTTGACAGAGCTCAAGCCAAGTAAGAGGTCCCTTACCTTATTACTGTCTAAACCTAAACCTTTGTGAGCCAGTTCACATAAAAAAAATCATTCAATTAAAGATTGCATATTTCGTTAGTATTCATTTGGTACTAAAAGAATTCTTTAGTTCTATAGTCTTGATTCTCATCATTCTTATAACAATATGTGCATACACAACAACCAAAGTTTAGAAAATAAAATCAAAGGGTAGAAGATAACACCAAGGATAGAAGATAAAAGAAAAGAAAAGAAGAAATAGTTTGTCAGAGTAACGACATCTTTACAGCTTTTAAAGAAATAACTTCAAAATACCAACTTTTAATATAGTAATAGATTAAAAGAATAAAATTAGGAGAATGAGATTTTCTCCAAATATTACCTTTCCCTTTTCTTTTCTTAGAGGTATTAAACAAGTGATAGAAAAGAAAGAAGGTGAACGATAGAAGAGAGAGAGCCAAAGCTTATGTACTTCTTGAATTGTTAGAATGAATTGAATATTTTCAATATGAGCGGGCTAGTCCCTTATTTATACATTTGAGCCCAAGTGGGCTAAATTAACAGAATAACAAACTAACTGAAATTGGTTTAAAATAAATAACTAAAAGTCATTGGACCTTTGTGGCTTTCATCTCCCTGCAAGGTGAGTGGGCTTGGGAGGCAAGACCCGAAGCTTGGACTTAAAGTCAACGAATTGAGTTGTGGGCACAGCCTTTGTGAGCTCATTTGCTATTTGATCTAGTGCTAGAACATGATGCACTGAGACAGCTCCCGAGACGACCTTCTCACGAACAAAATGGAGATCTAGTTCGAAGTGTTTGGTGCGAGAGTGGAAGATATGGTTCACGATGAGGAGAACTGCAGAGAGATTGTTACAATAGATGGATGGAGGACATGGTACTATGATGTGTAGCTCAGAAAGGAGAGATTGAATCCAAGTGAGCTCAGCATCTATGGTCGCGAGACAACGATACTCCACTTTGGTAATAGAGCGGCTGACCACATGTTTCTTTGAGGACCATGTGATCAAATTGGACCCAAAGAAAATACATAAACCACTTGTAGAGCAGCGATCATCCAGATCGGAGCCCCAATCGGAGTCACAATAAGCCACAGGATGGAAGTGCATGGAAGGTTCAATAGCCAGACCATGTGACACGGTACCACTCAGGTAGCAAAGTATGCGTTTCACTGCTTTCCAGTGTGTGTCGAGTGGGTTATGCATGAACTGACATGCTTTATTGATGCTAAAAGCTATTTCAGACCTCGTCATATTATACTTTTCCCTCATACAATGCGTTCGGTCCATAACCTTTCCCTCTTTTGAATTTTCTAATTGAATACTCTCTTGAACTAAAAAAGAATATTTAAATATTATACTTTTATTTAATAAAGATTATTTTCTCATACAATAGGAGATAATTTTCTCATGTTGTAAGATATCGAAATTCGTACTACTTTTTTTTTAACAAGTGATGAACCCCATCAAATGTTGTGTCTATTATATGAGAAATGCCACTTCATGTGGCATGAGAAAAGAGAAGTCCTTTATTTAACTTATGTATATTTCACTAATTATATAATTCTATTTTATTAACATTAATAATATTAATAAAATGCGTTGATTATTTTAAAAATATGAGATAACAAGAAAAAAAAATTAGTTAGTACATGATGTATTTAAGAAAAATTATCAAATTGTAATTAAAATATAATTTATTTTTTTAAATAAAAATATTTTCATGTCATAAAAGAATTTATTTAACATATTAAAATAAATATAATGTCATTTTTTATTTATACTCTGTATATAAAGTAAGAAAAATATATCCCGGTTGTTATAAACAAATGAAACAAAATAAAACCATATGATTATTAACTCTACACTATAATTCATACGAAATATATTTAACATTTTTAACCAAACATTACCTTTGAAATATTTTAATTAATTTTTTTTTCTTGACGTAAAATAAAATAATTCAAAGGTGCAATAAATATTTTTCTATTAAATTTAAAATTCATAATCATAAATACGTGATTTAATAATCTGTAGAGTGCATGTAGCCAGATATAAAGCCATACGTTGTATTTGCAATTGCAAGCAATTTCATGAAATTCTAGTTCAATCAAAGTGTCTAGCCTATGATAACAAGAAGCCTACTTTTTTTTTTTTTTTTACCCAAAAAAAAAATTAAAAACAAAAATCTCATGAACAGAAATATCTTGTAGTACAGAAATACTGAAGACTCGGTGCATCATTTACTCAATTTGAAAAATATAATATATTTCTTTTATTATTTTACCTTTCTTTGTATGTTTATTTTTTCCAAAACCATCACCCTTTTCTACTTTTAATAAAGGAATACATACTCTCCTAGCACCAAAGATCTGCTCAACGAATCAGAACACGAATGCAATTATTGCTTTGAAAACACACATGTAAAATGAGCATATATAAATTGGATAAAACCAGACCTTAAAAGAACTACAATTTATAATGCGCTCTAGGTCAAAGTGTGAAATTCTTTTTATATGAATACACTATTGAACAAAGCAAAAGACAGGGAAAGAAGAAAACAAAGCACTAGAAAGGCGAATTACGTTACACTGTTTCTTTTATGAAATTACAAGTTTGTAATGTACAAGCTATGTCGAAGCTGAACAAATAATTCAGATATATATGAATGACCGAAGTTAAACAAGAAAATTGATAAGAAAAAATTGATCCTAGTTGGATTAGTGGTGGGCCTGCATGCTTGACACCAAGCCAGAAAATGAAGAATGGCAGTATTTATATATTACAAGAAGTTCCTGCATACCTTCACAATATTCTTCTAATTTTTCTTCCAATGGTATCTCTCCTCATCTAAGTTAGACTCCTTTCATATCTTTTTTTCGACTTTCAGCTTAGTTTCCCCATTTTCAGGACCAAGACTACCAGGGACCAAAGATGTTGAAGTAATCGTGCTCTTACTTGTTGCCGTGGGTGGAACAACAGGTTTGGCAACACCATTACTAGTGGCTGCCTGCTTATGCACTGTCTCAGTACAGGCGTTTCCGGTGCCGATGATGATTGGGTCCTCTTGAGTCTCTAATTCACTTCTGGCTAATGAAGAACACTTCGTTTCTGAAATTGATGCAAAAATACATGAGATATAATATGTTAAACTGTATAATATACAATTATACATTTTCTGCCTGATTATGGCACACAAATTTTAATACTTTTTTCTACTATGGCGATTAGAAATTTCAAAGCCATTTCAGTTGACATAGCTAAATAAAGTAGGCCTGACAAATGCATTAATAAGTCAGTAACAGCTGGCTATCTGTTTTATTTATGTTCCAACTGCAGAGACGGCCATTTTCTATCCATATTCCATATGAGGTGTTTAAGCAAAATGAATATTTTTGTGTGAGCAAATCAATGGAATCTGAATAGATTGGCGTTTAGCATTTGAAAAATCATGTACGGGGATGATAACAAAGACAAATCAACTAACGGAAAATAAATAGCAGCAGCTATTGAGATGTTTGTCAAAGTTAGGAGGGTTACTTGCCTAAATTGAAAGTTGAGAGGGTCTATTTTACTAAAGTCCCAAAGCTAAGAATGGGTTTTCATGAAATTTTACCAAAGAAAAATTATAATTAGAGGAGAGGAAAATATTAACTTGCCGTTTATTTCTCCCATAGTGATAACCCTATTAAGAAAATCTCTAAATTTCGTCAATACAATCCTTTCTTGCTCTGCATAGACCTCTGTCATCCCTTGTCCGTGAGGCAATTGCGAAGATGTGTTGTTGCAAGCATGGGCCATTGACCCAATAGGGGATGCAGCAGTCATGAATGTATCTTGCTCATCACACATCAATGCTAAAGTTCCAGGAGACATTGGCCCCCCTTTTGGGACATCAGCATCATCTGAACTGGAATTATCAGGGCTGATTTTATCTGTTTGGTTTGCACTCGAACAATCGTCAGCCATGGCTTTCTCAACATCAGCTTCCTTTTGGCTTGGTAATCGCTCTTGAGTTGAAGCAGCAAGGGAAGTTTCTGTCTGATCTTCTCTATGCTTATCCATTAAAATTTTCTGGTCTGGTCATATTAATAATAATAATTGGTGAGAGAAAATTAATTAATAATGTACATTGACAAGGCTGATATCACTTGGTAGATGACAACTAGAATCATCAATTGAACAGAAAACTACAAGGTTCAAGCCTAAAAATTTAGAAGCACTAAAAGGTCACTTTTTAAAATAGAGGTTTCTTAAGTACTCTAATTTTTGTATACCCCAGCATTTCGACCATTGGATTCTATCCAAAATTAGACAAGGAAGAATGAAAGATCCTTTCTTGGTTAATACCAGTCCATTCACACAAGGAAGAATGAAAAAAAAAAAAAACAGTAACGGTCCATCCCAAACAAATAGCACAATTGATGATTGGCAATTTAAAATGTCAATATACCTGTAAGCGTCTTTGCGGCTTGTCCAGATACTAGCACCAGAACTGAGCACAGCTCCTTCAGGTGCTGTGGTTGTATGATGTCTGCTAAAAGAGACCTTCAACAGTAATCAAGTTAATAACTAAACTAAGTAAATATATCTCCATTTCATGAATTTAACTAGTCCTACCTATACATAAATTTTGAAGGACCTAATGTTGCAGGTCCAACACGAGCACCTGGGATAGGAGACAAGGATGAGGAAGGTGCTGGACTTCTGACATTGTTTGCCTGGTAAATAATAGAAATGTATATATAATTTATGACACTTCAGTATATAAATAGAGCAATAAAAAAGTCCTTAATAGCTTTCACTCTTAACTGCAGCAAGCTAATATGAACTAGCAACTTAGTTTCTGAATAAGCATTTTCAGACCAGAGGTCAAGTCATCATGGTATCGAAACAAAAGATTTGCCTTATCTCTATTCATTCACATTTCAAATTAGAAGTTGACACTGTTATTTCCATCATTAAGCAAATATGGAAGCTCAATGTGGTGTACTTAAGCCATGAGAACCTCTCAACCAATAGGCTAGTCTTTTTTGGGATGGGCTCTCCTTATGGACTTGAGTTGTAGTAAATGGTGCTTTCATTGAGAGCCAGTTGACATGGAAGGGCGGAACTGAACGGGGAAAAAGTTCTAAGGAGGTACCAAAGAAAGGGCTACTTTGAGTGAAACCCTAAACATGCACCTTGAGAAGTAAAAGTCAGATCCACTCTAAGTGGGCAGAAAGAATGGGCCACCGCAGACACTGGCTTTCAGACGAGTGTTCAATGTTATATCCCATGTTGAGCAAATATAGAAGCTTAATATGGTACTCAAGCCATGTGGCCTTAACTACCCAATAGGCTAGCATTTTGGGATAGGCCATCCTATGATCAAGTTTTACCTGTTGCCCCAGCCTGCCAATAAATGGATCTTAGACAGTTGGCCTAAAGAGCAGTTCCTGATGTTTTCTTTTTTCGGTCACTGGCAGCAATGAATAACCAGAGGAACCTATAGCTCCAGTTACGGAAACATTTTCTGCTTGCTGAATATACGCCATGTTGTCATATTGATTGCCATGTTATTTAGATGTTGACACTGATTATGTCCCACACTAAGCAAATATGGAAGCTCCATGTGGTACTTAAGTTATGAGGCCCTCCCACCCAATAGGCTAGTCTTTTGGGATGGACTCTCCTTACGGAGTTATAATAAATGGTTCTTTCATTGAGAGCCAGATGACAAGGAAGGGACAACCTGAACCTGGAAAAAAGCAACCTAAGAAGGCCTGACCAAAGAAAGGGCTACTCTGCCATAAACCCAAAATCTATACTAGACGAGCAAGAGTGAAATCCTCTCTAAGGGGGCAGCAAGAATGGGCCGTTAGAGACACTGGCTTTTGGACGAGTATATAATGTTATATACCACGATGGGAAAATATAGAAGGTTAATATAGCACTTGAGCCATGAAGTCCTCCTACCCAATACACTAGCTTTTTGGGATAGGTCATCCTATGGGCTTGAATCATATTAGACACATTGGACCAAATGAAAGGGAGCCAATATCAATTTAATAGAAACTCAAAGTCAAATCAAGTTTCAATGCATCTTTCAAATTTAATTGGGAAAATTGGTCTACTCCTAATGGGGAAAATATTACATGACTTTAAAATGCGAAGTCAACTGGATTAACTGTTCTCCATTTCTCCAATTTAATGACTTTCCCAAGTTAAAACAAAAATCCCTGAACTACTCATACTATGATCAAGTTTTACCTGTTGTCCCAGCCTGCCAACAATTGGATCTTTGACAGTTGGCCCAAAGAGGAGTTCCTGACCTTTTCTTTTTTTTGTTACTGGTGGCGATGAATAACCAGAGGAACCTATCGCTCCAGTTATGGCAGCATTTGCCGCTTGCTGAATATACGCCATGTTGTTATTATGATCTCCATGAAACAAAGCCTGCCTCTCTTCACTTCCCTCAAAGTTTTTGCAATCCATGCATTTACAATTTTCAGAACAAAGAATGTTGGCTTGGAAGCACTCACAGTACTTCTTGAGGCACCCAGATTTTTTACAGTGGCACCCCTTATTGTGCTTTCCCAATATTAAAACTTCCCCAGCCTCCTCCTACATATATTTTGAAGTTCACAGATAGTCAACAATAGAAAAACCAAAGACATTTTGAGAATACAAAAAATAGAATAAAATTGGAACACATTTTCCAATTTATTTATTTAGACTATAGAGCATATATAAAGGAATTTGCCAAGTATTTTAATAATAGGCTCCTGTCATACCACAATTTTATACCATCAAAAGCCCAACTTCTTGTGCAGACATATGTGGAGCCTTGGCACAATGGTTGGTGTTGTTGCTGTAAACCAAAGGTCACAAGGTTGACTAATGTAATCAACCTATCGTAACTGAAAGGTAACGGTGCCTACTATACACCTTTCACTGGACCCAGCGCAGAGCTGGAGCTTTTATAGCACCGGGCTAATTTTTTTTTTTCATGTGATCAAAATATATCACCTATCCGAGTTACATCTAATTAAATTTTACCAATTATCATCGACTTTCTATCCTCATGTTGCTAAATTTTAAAAAAATGTAAATAAGGAAATAAAAAATGAAATGCATTGGCTTCTTCAACTAGGAAATTTTCTAGGAGATACGCAAAAGAATTTATCTAAATTATGACTTTTTGAAAGGAAAGAAAATCAACATAGTGACAGGTAGGGGACAAAGACAACTAACACAACAAGCAAGAATATTTAATATCAAAGAAATTTGACTATATTTATGAAATTGTAAAACTAAAAAAGGGTTCTTTTAGTTATGAACAAAAGGCCTAATTCCATAATTATGGAATGATGCATCTAATGGAATACAAACTTATACTATGGGGGAAAAAAGTCACCCGAGCAAAAGTGACCTCCCATCATAATACAGAAAATATCCCTTTTGCACAAAAACTACAATGAACCAAAAGAAAAGTAATCAAAGAGAAAAAGACAAATGATTTGCATCAGCAGATCACAGCGAAACCTGATAAGGTTCTAATCAATAAGCACTATATCTTAAATTGATCTCAACATTAACAATATAAAACATGACACCCAACAATAACCGATAGAAAAAGTTAAACCTACATACCCTGCTTTCACGTGTTGCATGCGGGCTGCTTGCAATTTTTGGCCTGAATGCATTTGGATTGCGTTCTAAAGTAGCTTCAACAGCTTCTCGTCTAGCAGCTTCATTTTCGACATTGTTATAACAATTTACACAGTTGCAACCATCACAATATATTCCCGATGCAAAACATTCACAATAACTGCTCAAGACATTTTGAGCGTTAGCTTCATACAGCTTAAAGGAGCAATAACAAGTGCAGAGAGAAAGTGAGCGACAATTTTGCTTACAGCTTTAAGCATCTTGAGTGTTTACAATTGCACTGCTTTTGCTTCTTTGGAGTAACATCTTTCATTTCAAAGTTGGGTCTTGATCTTGATTTTGGAGATTCTGGTTTCCTGAATAAAATAAACGTTAATTGAAGACCATAAAATTAAGCTCAAGTTTTGACATGAAGATCAAAAAACGAATAGCAACTAAAATTAACAAGTATCTCAGCTTAAAAGAAAATTCAAAAGATACTAAATTAACCAGAAAATAAATAGGAAGAGAATGACGATGAGCCTGAAAAATTTGTTAATCGCAAACAAAAGCAAGGGGCATGCATTGGAAGTATCACATCCTGCACACAAAATTGGGATTCCCATGGCAGACACACCAATAAATAATTTTAAACTGAACCAAACAGGAAGGAAATAAATAAAGCAACTCTACTATGTTCATGAACTTACAATCTCAGAATTTCCAAAGGCTACATTTTTAAAAGAAAACAATATCAGCTTTTTCATGTCCTTCAGAAATGAAAAGAGTAAGCAGGTAGTATTAAACGACTCACCCAACCCTCATGGAAGGAAGAGGAGGCACCGGCGTCAAAACCACCTGCTGCTGTGGTTGTGGCGGCGGCTGCGACTGAGGGCGTTCTGACAAAGGCGCACCCGCCGGCATACCGGTGGTGAAATCGAGCTGCCTGGCAAGCTTCTTGGCGGGAACATCGGAGGGCGGCAGTGCAGGTGCATGTGCAGGAGCAACCGCATCGGATGATGCATTCTTGGAAGGGAAATCACCTTCCTCACCTTCACCCATCGGATTCAACAGCAACAAATGAATTTATCAAAAAATAAAAGAAGAACAACCTTCACTTCATACACCGATTACACTCTGAAAGTGATAATAATAATCATAACAATCCCCAAGATTATTTTTTGAAAAATGAAAAATCAGCTCAAATTAAGTGAGTTTCAGATCCAAAGTGCAAAACGGCAGGCCACTGTGCAGCTCCAGAATCAAGACACCAAGCTTGGCGAACTGTGCCCGCAATTCGATCCGAATAACAAAAATCACACCAACAGAGAGAGAGAGAGAGAGAGAGAGAGAGAGCGATTGTCGAGAGAGAACAAAGAAGACGCTGCAATTTGCAGAGTGAAAGGCTACAGCGGAGAGATAAGAAGAGAAGAGAAATGAAGATGGATTTTTTTTTTTTCGTTTTTTTTTTTTTTTTGTGAGTTCGGCTTCGCCCCCTCCTTCTTCTCCTCCCTCTCTCTCCCAAGCTTTTGAAATTCAATTTTTGTAAATATTGAATGGTCAGATCTCCCCGTACTCTTCATCGTGCGGTCCTTGATTAAAGCACCCATCATGCGGTGTAAATTCATAGAAGAATCACTCACCTTTCCTTCTGAGCCGTTAGATCAAACCCTCATTAGAAAACCATTTTTCACGAGTCAATAATGTCAATGACTCCTGTGAACAATTATCGCCTGCGGCTACCACCACAATTATGGCCTGCGCCATCATGTTGTGACTACGTGATTGGCCAGATCATCACATAAGATCAATGGGTTGTTTCAAATAAAAAGAGTAAATAAAGATGGGAATTTGGCGTTAAATTCACAAAAAAGAAGAAGGGGGAATTTGGCGCTAAAATAAAGGGGTACCAGCGAAGTTGTTGACTTCGGAGAGCAAACCTTTTTACGGTTTATGCCACTTGCCCTGTCAATTATGACGCAGTATCGTGGAAAAAAAAAATGTGACTGAGTGATTGAGATGGTGAACAAAATAAAACGAGAACCCAATTATAATTTCTTACACAAGGTAAGCGGCATTGGGAAATTATCAATAATTCTTCCGATTGTTAAATATTCATATTCTTTAAATTTGATTTCGTGTTACAGTTTTCTCTTTTCGGGGACCAGTAGAAAAAATGGTGATCGATCGGTAATATATTATAACAATCAATTAGTATTATTATTAATATTACTACTAATCAATTTCACCGTTAGGTCGATTATACTAACTCAACGGTTATATTTATTTTTATCTTTGTACGGTTATGATTCCCTATATTTAATGTAAAAGCATTAAATATGAGAAATCATAATCATACAAAGATGAAAATAAATATAAAATATTAATTATCAAAAATTATAACAATACAAAGATGAAAATAAATATAACCGTTGGATCAACATAATCGATCTAACGGTGAAATTGATTGGTAGTAACATTGATTGGTTGTTACAATATTCTTCCTTATATATATATATATGGGGAGAGATCATTTGACTCCAGAGTAAGATTTATAAGTCTTACTCCTCATCCTAACCGTTGATTTCCGTACATCCAACAGTTATAATTTAGGAAGTTATATTAATTAATTAATTATTAATTACACTATAAATGACAATCATTGATTTCCGTCCATCAATATATAATATATATATATATGGGATGAGAATATATATATATATATATATATATATATATATATATATATATATATATATAGGATCAGGATCATTTTACACCAGTGTAAGTTACACTCTTAATCTTGTCCGTTAATCCCACTTGTATCTAAGGGCTCAATTTTTTTAGTAATGTGAGCCATTGGATACAAGTAGATCAATGGTCAAGATTGAGTGTAAGACTTCTAACTCTTACACCGATGTAATAATATCCTGCCCCATATATATATATATATATATATATATATATATATATATATATATATATATATATATTTTCCTACATATTTCTATGATGATAATTTGAAAAGGATATGACATGTTTATATTTTTGTATCCATCCTGAACCCATAGGAAATGAGTAGATAACATACTCCACTCCACCTGGTGGAAAGGGCAGAGGCATCTTCTTGGTGGCCCTACGAGCAACATGCTACTAGATAAACCATTAAACTGACACTACTCTGAAAGTGTCGTGTGAAAAATGCTTAAATGGAATTAGAAACTTCAATGGAATCGCCCACTACGATTCAAGAATTTCTATGAAGTCGAACCCTGGAAGTCACAACAATAATTATTAGCTCAATATGAGAGAAACATCAGTAATCTATCATAAAAGTCAAAAACCCGTTCGATTCTTTTTTATGTGTGGGAGATACAATAAAATAAAGGGATATATTTTTCTTATGTTGTAGGAAAAGAATTACCTCATGTTGTAGAAATAAAAGTATAAGTGGGACCCACATGTAAGAGGAGAGAGAAAAAAAAAGTGGTGGGACCCAAACCCTTTTTGTGTGTGTAGGAGAGATGTTTATCTCATGTAAAATGAGATAAACATAACCTTAAAATAAAAGGCAGCGATCATTATTCATTTTCCCCAGATTTGACGTAAAAAAGAAGAAGGTACATATACTCCATTTTCAATTAGTTTGACAATCATGAACAAAAGACCAATAAGGAAAGAAACAAAGGGATCTTATCTCTATACCATCACATGGAAATCAATAGTCAATACAAACTGTTCAAATGTTTTTCAAAGGCGCTGCCATAATGTTGGAAATTACAGGAATTGAAACAATCTAATCCTAAACAAATGTTATTACAGCAGTAAATGACATTACAGATCCCAAGCTAATGCATTCGTCTAATTTTATCACGTCTTGTATTATCTCTTACACGATCCACGTACATTAATGAGGAGGAGATAGTGGTCGCCTCTCAAACCCTTTTCTTTCATTGGAGAAACCATATCTTCCACGATGTCTTCTATGAAACTTGTTTCTCCATGGTATAGAGATAGCAGAAGCAGACCCTGCACAAATCCATGCCCAGGAAAAGTAAGCAACTAGCAGTAAGGAAAATTTAGCATTGCAATCCGCATCAAAAGTCAAGTATTTGAGATCATGCAACTGCCAAATGGTCTTTGACATTTCAAAAGGAAGGTTACCATCATACAGGTATCCTCCTCCTCATGCCTACGCAAATTAAAAAGAGTGAAGAGCGCAAGAAGTTCACATGATAACAACTTCACAGTCACTACCCAGACACATGATCCATTTAGCAACAAAGATAACGTCAGCTGCTAGCAAGTCAGCATTTACACTAAAGACATAATGTACCTCCTCCATGTCCTTGATCCAATTTAACCGAAACCATTACTGTCTCTTATTTCATAGATAGACCACAACATGGTTAAATGTACAAAACAGTTAACCTAAGAATCTGAAATATCAAATCCAAATCCAAATTCAAATTTTGGAGCAATGCTAATTGGTACTGAGCTAAAAAAATAAGAACCAAGTTTAAAATCTGGTCATGGTCAACAGTATGTTCTAATTCCTAGAAAATGCCTATTCAACACGACAAACAATAGATCAAAGTGATTTCACCCTTTACAAAGTAATCATACTGAGAAGCACAAGACCAGAATGTACGCCATAAGGAAATAACCACCAACAAACATCATTGGAGCACAGAATCCCAAAAGTTTAGTACATTGCCCATCATCAACCATTTGTCAGAACCATCTTGAAACCATCTCTTCCATTCAAAGGTCAGATTCAAGCAACAAAGTTCACGAATTTGCAGTAAACCACACCAAAGAATGAGACAGGCAGATCAAAACTGTGAAGCCACATACAACAATGCCAGTGAGCAATTTGCTCCGTTTTTTCCACTATAAATTATGCCCCAAGTAGCTTGCTTCAAAACAACAGGAGAATGAGATTGAATGTGAAGAAGTACATTCCCAACAATTTGAAGATATGCATCCTCTTTCTGTATCACATCAATGTCCCTAGTCAATGATCAATGCGAAAAATCTTAAGGATACAGCAGAAGCTACAAAAAACAGAAGTTTCCTAGTCACCTGAATCATCCCTAAATAACCAACCGAACAAGAATCCCCCCATACGGATGGAAAGGTGGGTAAGGGTATAGAAAGGCCTAGAATATGGAAAGTGTATCAAAGAAGACTTAAGAGTTAGTTAGGAAGTTAGTTCAGTTTATGGTTTTGAGAATCCTCGTATAAATAGGAAGTTGTTTAGGGGTTTTTTGAATAATTCTTGTGTAATTGAGAGTGCTTCTCTTCAACCTGCGTACTTTGCCTACTGTTCTTCTCTCTTTTACATCTGAAAACTTTTTTAAAACCAGGCTCTGTGGCAAGTGGTCCAACCTGCCGGAAAAAGGAACCAGTAATAGGTCCACGACAACGACAGAACTAACTTGGACTTCCAAGGTAGAATTGCGAGCGTTTGAAGGTTACGTTACGACCCTTTGCGTTGGATAGCCACTAGCCAGGGCTGAAATATTTTTTGAGATTCATGACATTGCCGATAGTGAGAAAATACAGCTTGCGCTCATCAGCATGGAGGGAGGAACGGTACATTTGGTACCGGTTCCTGAGGAAGAAGATCCCAAATCTTGAATGGGAATCTCTGACCAAAGCACTCATTCAAAGGTATGGGGATCGAATGCAAGGGGCAATGTACGAAAGACTAGCACGCTACGACAAGAGACAGACTTAATTTCATAGCATACACACATTTATAACTTTAAATTGTCTTTTGAATTACCCAAAGGAAATAGAAATGCTGCCACGAATAAGGTTCACCACTGTAAGTGTAAGGAAACCCCTAATCATTCATACCTAAGCAAGAAGGAATACACCCAAAATCTTTCCAGGAACCGACTAAATTGCATGGAAGTCAAAGCGTAGATAAAATATGTAAGCCATTTGCGAATGCAATGCAACGCATTTTCAGTTCACGAAGGTTGAAACACATCATTCACGTGGTATAGGGTGATAAAAGGTAGAGGATGGTGGTGTGGTGAGATAGGGAACAGAACAAACCAGTGTCATGGCGGGAATGAAGGGGAGAAGGATCTCCTGCAGCGGCGGCACCCGAGTCGCTATTGGAAGGCTGGAGAGGCGGTGCTTGGTCCCACTTTGTAGGACCCATGCATGACTTTTGCTTCTGTTGTAATACTCACTACACATTTACTAGTTACTATTTCAACCACGTGGGAGTGTGGGACGAATAAACAAGTAATTAATTAAAAGTTTTTATTTAATTACAGCTCCCGATGAATTACTTGCTGATGTGACTAGAGATTAATTATTGTGGGTATCTTTTTTGGGAAATATTATTCTTATGCAACATAAGATAACACTCTTTCCTACACACTCGTTGATTTTCGTGTAGTTTAGTTTTTATTTTTTATAAATGAGTGGACCCCACCCATGATTGTCTCTATGGTAGGAGAGAACTTCTCTCCTACAACATAAGATTAATAAAGCCCATCTTTTTTTCACACGTTTCTCTAAAAGTGAAAAGTTGCATCCCATAGTGTTGATCTGAAGAGTAGTATGTCCAGACCTGCGGATCATCACCTTCCACCAGGAACCGCCAATGCGGTCCGCCATAGCCATATTCATGATCACTTCTTTTTTGCCATCAACTCTATTTTAAACTTTAAATAGCCAGATTTGAGGATCATGATCACTTATTTGGAAAGAATCACTTATTTTAAAAATATAATTTGTGTTTAGGAATAATATTTAAAAATAAATTTAGAATAATCGATTTTATTATACATTCACAAATAATTTCTTCTAAACCATAAATGCAAGTATTATTTAAAAGTTCAGTGAATCTCACACTTAAAATTAAGGCTAAAATATAAGTTATCCTCTTGAACTTTGATTATGTTTTAAATTACTCCTTGTACTTTTAATTGTTTCAATTAACTCCATGTACTTTATAATTGTTTCAAATCAACAATTCTATTAAAAATTTTATAAACTTTGTTAAACCTCTTCACATGTCCTAAGCCTCAAATCTCAAAATTTTCTTCTACGTCCTCCCATCTCATATTACAATTTTCTTTGGAAAGACTGCTTTGCCTGTTGCTGTTTCCTTTGAAAACATGTTCATGAAACAGATATCTTGGCCTACTATTTACCATAAAGAGGATGCTGCGGCAAAAGAGGAAGAATCCAAAACTTTTGAAAGTGCTAGTGATCTCTAACGACATTTACATCGCTTGTGATTGAATTTGTGGTAAGGCTTCAAAACCTAGTGGATTCATTTGAAGAATTAGGTGAAAAAACAAACTTTATGAATCCTCTCGAGCAACAAGCACCGGTAACATCTGGTGGGTTCTGGACCAGATCGTTTACCTTCTTGAAATTCAAGGATTGCAATAGAAGGGAATAAATTTTTAGTCACTACATCCACTTAAAAAACAGTACATGGACTCACCTAAGCGTAATTATACTCATTTTCTTAACAACTTATTTATTTCTAATGTCACCTAAGTCGATGTGTTATAATTTAAGTGGGTATATATAGTATGAACCACTACTAAAAATTTATCCCTTGGGAAGCTGCCAACTTCATCTTCCTCCTTTGTTTATGGGTTGAAAGGGCTGATTGACAGTTCAAGGGTCATTTCAGTCTTTCCATAATCTGAATAATGTAACACTTTTTAGTCCTTTCCATAAAGATCCAAAGAAAATTGTAATAAGAGACGAGAGAACGTAAAAGAAAAGAGAGAAGAAATTTTTGAGATTTGAGATTTAAGACATATGAAGAGATTTAACAGAGTTTGTAAAATTTTTAACAGAATTGTTAATTTAAAAAAATTATAAAGTACAAGGAGATAATTGAAACAATTAAAAGTACAAGAGGCTAATTTGAAACATGGTCAAAGTTCAAGATATTTTAGCCTAAAATTAATTCAACTAGCAAGAAAAGTTAAAATTCATCAGTTTTCGCGAATAAATTATACTAACTGAAAAACTTATCTTGCAATTCCACAATTACCAAAATAACATTGGCTATTGGAAGAATTGATTCTCGTAACTTCAAACGCTATTTTGCAATATAGAGAATTTTAATGAGTAGGTCAAATTCTCGGCTAAGCATTTTCCTATTCACAATACCCATTCTCGTTCACTTACTCATTCACTTGGGTGTTGGAACCTTGATGCACCACCAACTCTCTAGTCACCAGTATAAAAAGAGGAGCCCCAAAAACCATCACCAGAGAAGCCCAGAAGCAACATTTCTGTCCTGTCCAAATATCTCGGACTCAACATATCCAATTAAATAAATAGACACACCTAAAAGCTCGCTGAAGCCATTAAATCCATGCTCTCTCTCTCTATTAGGTGGCAAGGATAAACTTCAAAATAAAAGTATGAATTGTTTACAATTATCGGACGTGTACAAGTACAACAATAATCACTATAAAGAACATAGAGAACTTCGTAGACAAAAATCTACAACTGACTTTAGGCATGCATACGTAGCAAGAGGCATTCATTTTGAGAAACAGATTGCACGGCTACACAAGAGCGGGTATTCACTTTCAGTTACCACCTGATACAGAGTAGTGGGTGAGAGACTGAGAGTGGATGTTCAACCTAAAGAGAGGAGATCAAAGTTTCTATACGAATTGGGATGAACAACTACTATAGAAGATCAGTACTCAAATCATGTCGGTCAAGGTGTTATCGTGCTCTTGCAACCGTGTACACACCGGAACAAAGGAGGATGTGTGTGTAAGTGGCTTGGTTTTGGTGAGAGGATGCAGGAAAGTGCTCAAAGAATGCAAGAAAGGAGTGGAACAATGAACAAAAACTCCACAAGTGTGAGTGAGTGTTTTATGGAAGAGTATTATATTTCAGTGTCAGCAATGGATGCCAAAACTGTTAGCCCCCCACACCATGGGTGCGAGGGCTGCATATCACAACCATGCAATATGCTCTGTGAGAGAGTGAGGAGAGTATTGAGTGACAAGGATACTTTATCTTGTAATGAGATGGTGGATTGGACTCTAGGTTGGGCCTAAAGCACTCATAAGAGGATGCACCATTTGGAACACAGACAAATGATATATATAGAATATATTTACCTAATCACGATACAGAACAAAGCAAAGATTGACGGAGTCATGACACTCATGCTTGCTCCGGTATTGCCCTTCCATTTTCTTCCAGTTTTGATTGAGGTATCAAAGTGAAATGGGGATAGGGGGGGAAGCCGGACATGTAGCATTTGGCTCTCCTTATAATAATCTCTACAGCTGCAGAAGGACTGCAGAATTTGACAAGTGGCAACATTAAAGTTAGAAGTTTAGTCCACTCATAAGGTTGAAAGATATTGCATTACTTCAACCATGGATATCATTGTAACACATAATCCGTCATGCTTACTTTTCAATAATTAATCCTTTTTCTTCACACATAACGTCAAAACAGAAAAAACAGATTTTCTTATCAAAATTCTCACCACAGATTTTCCAGAGGATGTTCAGCGAATAAAACACTAATTGAACAACACAATTAACAAAGGCTGTTACAAGAATATGATGTACCTTTAATTCTTTAAGCTCAAGGAAACTGCATGGAGAAACCGGTGCCAGTTCTGGTAATATTCACAGGGCCAAAATCATCAAAATCAGAATCAGAACCCATGTCATTGTTATCATGCAACCCACCAGGGGAATCCTCATCTTCTCCATTTCTGGTCAAAGGAACTCGTAGCTCAGAAACAGGAACAGGAAGAGGTTCTTCGTTAAAGTACTTGTCATGGAGTAGCTCCATCGCTGTAGCTCTCCTGGCCGGATCATAACAAATAAGTTTTTTGACCAGAGACACTTCATCAGGGGAGCGGTTGGGCAGGCAGGCTTCAAGACCAGTAGGTCTTTCTACCTTACTAAACGAGATTATTCCGTAATCGGGAAGTTTTGAACAACCAGGCCAAGCTTTCTCATCAAGGTTGCCCAAAACATTAATAATTATGCTGAGCTGATCAATATCAGCTGTTCCAGGAAATAAGGGCTTCAGAGTTAAGAGCTCTGCAAAGATACATCCTAAAGACCAGAGATCAACCTCTAAACCATAGTCCGTGGATCCATAGAGCAGCTCAGGAGCCCTGAACCAACGAGTTCCAACACATGATGTGAGACAACCAAGTTCCTTACCTTCACCCTCCCTCACTTCATAACTAAACGAAGTTATCAGAGGATCGTTATCTAGATCACTTGTTGTGCATGTTGCAAGACAAGAGGTATTTCCATCAGGTATGTTTGTATCCTTATCAATGTCATCGGCGGAGCTCTTTGTTTTCATCTCATCTAAAACTCTAAAATATTCTTCATGACAAATGGTTCCCTGCTCTTGATTTCCATATCCAGCTTGGCTTAAATTGTCTATCCGAGGAAAAGCTTCAGGATGATGGAGTGAACTTTCCTGATTACAAGCATCATGCTCATATGGTTGTGGTTGTAGTGGTGGGTTCTCCTCCATAGCATCAAATTCAGGCTCCATAAGTATCCTTGCCTGAGAAAATAGTTCATGAAACATTTCATTCCCGATTAAAAAAGGGAGAAGGTAAAATATATGAAGTTAAATAATAATAATAATAATAATAAAACACAATTGATATTAGCAACATCCAGGAGAAGCTAATATCACGAAATTTCAACAATGAATAACTTGAATATAAGCACAAAACTAACTAATAAGGGGTAAAAAACTTCAAGCTTCAAAATTAACATTTTATGAGACTTAAGAGAAAAAGAAATAAGAAAAAACAGAGATTGCAATACCTGTCCAAAATCCGCCAACTTGAGGACACCGTGATCGGAAATCAAGAGATTAGAGGGCTTCAAATCTCGATGAAGGACCATGTTACGGTGACACGCGTCGACACCACAAAGAATCTGGATCATCCAGCGCTTGATCTCCCCAAGAGGGAGAGGGGCCTTGGCCTTGGCGGCGTCGCCGATGACGGTGGCCAAGTCGGTGCTAAGGTACTCCAATACGAGGACGGCGTCCTCGTCCTCGCGCCAGAAGTGCTCGTGCAAAACGACGACGTTTGGGAAACCCTGCAGCATCTGCAAGGCCTCGATTTCTCGCAAGGCAGACTGGTAGTCGTGAACTTCCTTGAGGGCCACAGTGAGGCCGTCGGAGAGGCGACGCCCACGGTACACGTCGGCGTAAGCTCCCGACCCGACCCGCTCCATGACCTGGTACTTGGATATGATCTCGGATCGGGTATGGATGCTCCAGCTCTTGGGGTGAGTGGGAAGGGGAGGCTCCATCTCCATCTTACTCCCAAACAAGGGCCAATGCTGCCTTCCTCTTCCCATGCTTCTTTTATTCATCCACTTTCTTTTACTTTTTAATTAATAAATCCTTTTTCTTTCGTCTTTTCTAAAATAAATTATCTATATTGAATCTAAAACGATATTATTTTGAAATAAAAATTAAGATATTTTTGTAATTATAATTTATTTTAAGTTTATAATAATCTAAAACGACATCATTCTGAAAGTGTATATTAAAACTTTTTTTTAAGACCAAAATGTTTGTCCTTTAAAACAATATATTTGTTGATTTTTAAATTTAATATTTATAAATTTTAATGAATAAATATTATATACTCATGTTAGAATGTGTACTTTTTTTATTATTATTATCCAATACAGAGAAGCATACAAAATACAATAATGAAAATATCTTGCAATTTTTTTTTTTTTTTTTTTTACTTTTTTAAGTATTATTGTTACTACTGGAAAGTATTCCAAAGAGTGCGATCAGTTTTCCACTGCTAAGCATTTATAGCCTATTTTAAAGCATCAGAACACTGCTGCAACTCTGTAATGACAATTAATAAAAGGGTTTATTATCTATCATTTAACATGATCATAAAAAATTTCCTACACACACAATATTTTGTGGGACCCGCAGCAAAAAAAAAAAAAAAACTTCGGCACGCAAAACGAATCTCTATAACATAACACAATCACATTTCCTACAACATAACTCTTATAAAACCCTTAATAAAAATGACACTTTCATGATACACATATATTTCATATCTTAAAAATCATAATTGTTATGGTCACTCCCCCCATTCCACTAACACATGATTCGTTAGTTAATATGAAATTTTTTTTTTAGTAATTTTACATCTTACTCAAGCATTAAATCCACAACATCTCTTCGCTTAAAATGATGGTTCAAACACCAAAAATACTGCATATGACCCTCAATATTGGAATTTGTCATATTCATTGCACTAATAGCAATAAAATAAACACATCATGCGCACATGCAGAGGATTGAAAACCGAATACTGAAATCATATACTACATACGTATACCCTCAATTTTCTCCCTCACTCAAAAAAACTCCATTGATATGGATTTTATCTCTTATAAAAATATTAATTCTTTATACCAAGATTCTTTAGTTAATACTTAGAGCAACAGTCAACCTTTTATACCATCATGCCTACACTTAATAACAATAATTATAATGAAAGAAGTACACTTTGGAGTATTTTTTATTTTTTTTTACTTTTAATTCCTCTTCTCTTTATAAAGAGAAGTTAATCCAAATATTATTTTATAAAAGTTCTTATTCTAAAAAGAGTTTTTTTATATTGAATAAAAAAGAAAAAAATTTAAAACTTTCTAGAGATTTTTCTTTTAAGATGTATGTAAGTTTTTTTGGAGTTTTCATATTTATTTTTTACTTTTCTCTTTATTCTAAATTTATGATTTATCCTAATAACAAATCCTTTTATCTTTCCTCTTTAAAGTTCCAAAAATAATTTTATGCAATTATCAAATTACTTTTATTTTTTTTAACTTTAACTTAAAAATAACTTTTAACTTAAAAAAAAACACACCAAATATCCATAATACAAGAGTGCTTAAAATATCCCCTAAATTTTAGTTTTTTGTAATAGAGATTTTACTGCCGTACCACCGAGTAACATTAAGGACCAGTTTGAATGAACTTCTGAAATAACTATATTTTATGCCTTATTTATTTTAGAAGTATTTTTTTTTTACAAAAATTAAAATTATTTAGATTTTTTAAAAAGAATTGATAGAGGATAAAATTTTTAGCTAAAAAAAAAATTATCTATTTTTTGTGACTTTTATTTTCTTAAAGCAGATATTCAAATAAATTTTGTAGCATAAGCACCTTTTTTTTTTTCTTCCGGAAAAAAGCAGATTTTGGTTAAACCGGCCCTAAGTTAGCAATGTGTGGGTGACTATAGTCTATAGAGAAAATAGCATCTCAGCCAGTTGGGCTATTTAGTATTTACACGCTCAGACAACATAATTCATCAGCCAAGATTATATTAGGTATTTATTAATATTTATTTTTATTAATATTAATTAGTTTTGATTTATATCAATGAGAGTTAACATTAATTATATATTACAATATCTAAATTAGTGAAGATGATTTCTTTTCTCATTTTATGATCGCTTTAAATATAAATATGAATTACCTTTTAATATTGCATAATATCGCAAAATATCACATCAATATAATATATTATCTATTTATTCTCTCCATCTCATATTTTAGTCCAAACCCCCTCTAATTTCAAACCCAGTGTAATAGTTATACCCTAATAATAATAAGAATAATAATAAGGGATAGGATATTGCGACACACAAATAATGTTACGCACAATGTTACGACCACATCTTAACCGTTAATTTCCGTCAATCAACGGTTATCATTTATTGCGAATTAATAATTAATTAATCAGTTTGATTTGAAAAATGATAACCGTTGATTGGCGGAAATCAACGGTTAAGATGTGGTCGTAACATTGTGCGTAACATTATTTGTGTGTCACAATATCTTACAAAAGGATACATCCGTTACGATGAAAACATAAGGATACATGACCTGAAGCTTGATGCATTTACAAAACAAGGTCCGTATCAAAAGTAGATATTGATGATGCAATTGCAATGGATGTGTATATTAAGCAGCACATCCTCCACACACAATACTTCTGTTCTGTCAATCACTACAGAGTACAGATACACTTTAGTACTCATTACGACTTCAAGTGTGTGTGACACAATATTAAGAGTAGTGCACATTCAATGCTTGCTCTAGCTTGAGGGAGAGCATATTAATGTTGTACTCACACCTGAGGAGAAGTTTTAAGAAATTCAAATCTTGAGTGATGAAGTACGATGGACACAAATATATAGACCATATAGAAGACAACCTCTTTGTTTCATTACTTCTTTTCTTCCTCATTTTGTGTCACGTCTCTCTCAAGTTCTAATTTTGTGTCAACCTCTTCATCCCAAATTTGTATATCTTCAGTACTCCCATAAGCCCTACTACATATGAAGTAGTAGAACAAATTAACCAAACTCAGAATGAAAAGGAGGGCATAGTAGTAATCATAGTGCCCTCTGTTGAGGTTTGATGATAGCCAACTTTCTTCTCCTGGTCTCACTGTCCCATCTTTCACAACCTTAACGATAATGCTTGCCACCAAATTCCCCATCCCAAAGCCAAGTGTAAAAAGAGCAATAGCAATGCTAGACATGGTTTTAGGAAATTGAGTGTAATAGAACTCTATTTGTCCAATGGCATTGAAAGCCTCTGCTAAACCAAATAAAGAGTATTGGGGCACAAGCCACATAGCAGACATGTTAACCACTCCATTGGGATTGTTCATAAACCCTTCTCTTATTGCTGCATTCCTTCTCTTCTTCTCTACCAATGCTGCCACTATATTGGCCAAACATGAGATCACTAGCCCAATTCCCATTCTTTGCTTAACGGTGAGTCCTTTTTTGTATATTAATAACAAGGGAACTATAATGCGGTCATAAATAGCAATCCATAGGGTCAAAGTGATGATTGTAAAAGCACCGAAGCTGGTCTGTGGTATGTTCAAATTGAACACGACCCTGTCCATGGTTCCAGCTTGGACTACAGCAAATGATTGTTGGTTTATGGCAGTAGCAAGTATGATGCCAGTGGACCAAATGGGAAGGACTTTTATTATAACTTTCAACTCCTCTACTTGTCTTACTGTACACAGATTCCATGGGTCAACAGCCATCCCATTAGAGTCCAAATCTTTCTCTCTATTCTTAATTATACAAGCCTTGTTCAAGAACCTAGGCAGAATCAAACATGAATTAATTAATATACATTAATAAATCTTTGTAATAATCTAATATACTTTTTGTGTAAAGATGGTATATCTTTCTTTTTTTGTGTACTGATATTCTTACTCTAGTGGAGTGTATTTGGTGTTAGTTGAATATGACAAATTGGTACCTTGCTTTGTCCGTTGGTTGAACAAGATTAGAGCCATTGTGGAAATACCAAAGGTCGGAGTTCTTTGGAGGCAGGGTTGAGTGTCTGTTTTTCCAGGTTGCTACAATTACTTGGGCCAAGCTAGTGAGCAAGCTCTTGTTTGGTTTCACTTTGACATACATGTAAGAACCCAAGAGGAACATGATAGCAGAAAATGACATAAGCCCCACTGGAATCCCAAAACCCACAACCCATCCTGCTTTAACTTGAATGTATACTAGGAATATAACAGAAACCATTATTGAAAAGCCAACCGAAACATAATACCAATTGAAGAAACTCTTCATGACCCTCTCATTTCGTGGGTTTTCAGGGTTGTTAATTTGATCAGCAGCAAAAGCTAAGGAACATGGCCTAATGCCACCAGCTCCAAAAGCCATGAGAATAAGGGAAGAGAAAAGAAACATGAGTTGAGATCCCGTTGGACTTGGACAAGTTTCTACATGACATTCTTGTGGCCTTGCATGCCTAATGATTGCAGTAAGCCACAACACAACCAATCCCTGCAATGAAGATCAAAACCAACATGATAGAAATTTCATTTTTGAAAATCTATTTTACTTAGTACGTTTTCATTGTTCATACGCTATAGGGGTATAGTATTATCTTACAACAAGGTCGATGAAAGTTCCCCATGCAATAACACGAAATCGTCCAACGCAAGAATCAGAAAGGAAAGCACCAAAGATGGGAATAAAATTGGACAAGGCGTTCCACAGAAATATTATGATAGCAGCAGTTGAAGGGTCCAGATGATACTCTTGTAACATGTACAAAATCATATTTACATGGAGTCCGAAATTCGCAACCTTTTCGAAGGTCTCATTTGCTATAAGAATTAAAAAAAAAAAAAACAAGTTGGAAATCACAACCTGGTTATAAGAACATCTGATATATACTTCACTAAAAATGGTCACTACAAGACATACAATATATGTTGTATGTAAAGAAAAGAGTCATCACCTATGATAAAGGGCATGGTTCTGTAACCACCCTTTTTCCTTACAACCTGTTCGGTGGCTTTCTTTTGCTCCATTGACATCTCCATTTTTCTTCTATGATACGCATGGAAAAGGTTATACACAAAATAAAATTGAAGCAATAAAAGAGCTTTGTTTTAAACACATAGGTGGGGACAACAAGCTCTTGTTTTCCACACGCAAAATCTCACCTTGTTGCTGCTCTGTGCAGGAAGGCCTCGTTATTATCCAATTTATTGTCGTATCAGGAAGGTTCTATTCTATATACGGCTCTCCCATTTCTTGTCTTCTGAACTACACTTTTGCATATAACAGAATATTACTATTTGACACCTTAAAAAGGCATCGTATCATAGATGATCACGCATGTTATTTCTATCCCTTACCAATTTCTGCACTTATATATATTTGGGCTGGCTAGCTGAGGAATATGAACACTATCATTTGTTGGAAAGGGAAACAGTGTAAGCCTTCAGAAAAAGCACATTACAGTGTTGTTAAGGGGTGTGTGTGTCTTGCTGTTAATGCGCTTTTCACGTTGTTTGTTTGGTCAAGGGATCAAAATGTTCGTGTCTTTTACAGTGTGTGTGTAACTGAATAAAACCCCAAAGAAAGATTTGAAGTTTCTGAACTAACTTCAGTTTTAACTCCCATGGTTGTGAGGACTTTATAGATGGAAGAATTTTGGCATTCTAATTGGTCTCAAATTGGAGAGCATTTTCGGTATATCCAGTATACCTATGATTTTCATTCAAAAATTAACATTTGGATTTATTTTATTTTATTTTTCTCTTTTCCATACACACACCGTAGAAAATATTCCATTTTGATTAACCCGTCACACTCAGTCAACGGTGCGATGTACCTAAAATATTTAGCTCAAATATGGTTTCTATGGCCCACCTTGAACTAGCTTGGAGTGGAAGAATAAGTTATACAATATATATGCTACTCAGTGCAACGTAAAGGTTAGTTTAGGAGTCCAATGACGACGGATCAAAGGTTCAAACGGGGGAGGAAAAGATTGATTTATCTCATTTCAAGGAACGGTGAACTGGCCTTTATACATACAAACAAATAAACATAGCTATTATAACAGTACATTTGATCCCCTCGGCGTAACGAAAACTTCATGTACTCTCTTGTAACTCCTAGCCAGATTCCCCAGTCACATAGATCATAGATGCCATATCAACCTACATTTTGTTTTGTTTTGTTTTGTTTTGAGGATCACCACTTATGGGAGAGAGATGTTTTACTCTCCGTCTTATCGTTGATTTCTGTCCATTTAATTGTTGTAGTTTAGGAAGTCATACTAATTAATTACACTATAAATGACAACTATATATATATATATGAAAAGAAAATATTTGTCTGTGTGAATAAAAATTTTCTGCTACTGCTACATTTGCATAAAAATAAATGAATTATATTATAAAAAATTAATGAAATATATTCACTTTTATGTGAATGTGTCATAAATAAATTTTCTATAGAAAAATAAATATTATCACTATATATTTATTCTCAAAAATAAAATGGATGGTGAAAATGAAAATTCAATGAGATTTTTATTTTTTTTATGCAAATAACGGTATCATTTGAGATAAAAGTGTTATTGATGTGAATAACCGCATCGCTGTTAAAATTAATTTTGATTAATATATAAAAGTTTAAAAAGTTTTACTACTTAGTAGCATAAAGATTTTTTTTTAAATACAAAAAACAAACGTAGATTTCCCTTTATTTTGACATCTTAATATGCGTGTTTGCTAATTGTTCTAATATATAATAAAAAAGATGTCATTGATGATATGTATGGTACTACATGCTTAAAACAACAAATCTAAGGTTTTAGGTGTAGAACAAAGGGTAAATAAATTGTTATGTTACATTACGTAATAAAATATTTCTACTCTCACGATTATATGTGAATCTATTTCTTAATTTTTCTCTTCTCTTCTTTTCGTTGTGAGAATATGAATTGTTATGTTACACAACGTAACAATTCATTTACCCTAAAACTAATCCCGTTAGGAGCGTCAAAACTGTTTCTTTTAGCAGTACGTTTTCACCTGCTCAAGCATCTAATAAATGTGTGACCATGAAGCTAGAGACGTTTTTTTTTCTTTCTAGAGCAGTGGACAAGTGATGTGACCTAATAATTACAAGAAAAGAACTTATATATATATATATGATCCTTCACCGTAAAAAATTCCATATACCAAAAAAATGCCATATCATTAGGGTAATTAAGAAAAGGAAAATTTTGTATTGCTTTTGATGAAACATCTTAGTTATTTGACGATAATACTAATTGTGATATGATTGTTGAGTGGTTTTTAGAATATTCAAGGAGAAATTTTCCCACCTCTTCTTTCCCTAATAAAACCTCCCATCAAAACATACCCTTAAGCAAAAGAAGATAAGAAAAAAAATATAAAAAAGAAGAAAGCATAAAATGAAAATCTCATGCTTATATAGCAAACCAATCATATATCTACATAGTAAGTCAATCTATGTACAAGGAAGGCACTTGTATGTATGACCTTTGAGCTATATACAGCTCACAACGAACCTAAAAAAATGAAAGCATTTCTATGGTTTAATGAATTTAATGTTGTCAGGTAAGTTCATATTTGTCTTCCTGTACCAGTACTTTGAAGCATCCTCTCTTAATTCATTCCCCAAGCCTGCAATTACCAGATATTTTTTAACTGTTAACAAATACTTTATTTTTACAGTTTTGTTTATATATGATTTGGAAGAAGTATAGATGCTACTTGATATGTGGATGACATGTATGTTAGGAGAAGAGCAAAAACAAAGGATTTTTACTAAAGCAGAAGTCGTAACTTTTACATTCAAACAATAGATTTTTAAATTACAAAACTTCTAACTCTACAATAAAGACACTTAACACCACAATAAATTCACATAACTTCAGAAACTTAAAAACATAAAACTGACATTTAACGTTTACTGAATTAAACCCATTAAAAACTAAACTGATTGCTGAATTAAACCCATTAAAAAGTAAACTGACACATAACTCCACATTTAACGTTTATTCAACAAAACTCCCCCGTAAACTTAAATGCTTCTGCCATCCTTCATGCCGATCAATTTCTTGCAGTTGTCAAGGAGTACCGTCGGTAGCGATTTCGTGAAGATATTCGCGACCTGATCCCGACTTGCCACGTGTACTAATTCTACACTTCCTTCCTTCACATGATCTCGGATGAAGTGAAACCGAACGTCGATGTGCTTGCTTCTCTCATGATTGACTGGGTTCTTTGCCAACTCAATTGTCGATTTATTATCAACTCGTATCACAGCCGCATTGAGTTGTTGTTGCTCCAACTTGCCCAACAAATTTCTGAGCCATATTGCATGACATACACACCAAGACGCTGCCACATATTCAGCTTCACATGTTGAGAGCGTCACGATCGGTTGCTTCTTTGAAAGCCAAGTAAATGCCATGTCACCCATAAAGAACACATATCCTGAAGTGCTCTTCCGATCGTCTAAGTCTCTCCACCAATCGCTGTAGGAGTACCCAATTAACTTGTAATCTTCCGAATTTGAATAAAATAACCCGAGTGACACTGTTCCTTGGATGTACCGTAGGATTTGCTTCAACGCCTTCCAATGTGAATAATCTGGCTCCTCCATGAACCAACTTACAATGCCAACACTTAACGAAAGGTCTGGCCTTGTGCATGTGAGATAGCGAAGGCTTCCCACCAAACTCCGATATTTGCTCGCGTCGACTCGTTCTCCTCCATCGAACTTCGAGAGTTTTGCACCCGGTTGCATTGGTGTTGAAACCGGGTTGCAATCTGCCATCTTGTACTTCTTCAAGATCTCCTTTGCATATACCTCTTGTGACACACAAAAATACTTGTCTCTCCTTGTCTCACCTCCAGACCAAGGAAAAACTTCATCAAACCCAGACCTATCATCTCAAATTCCCGTGCCATTGTGCTCTTAAACTCTTGTATCATCTCATCATTGTTCCCCAAAAAAATAAGGTCATCAACATAAAGAGCAACAAATAACAAATTACCTCCACTCTTCTTCACATAAAGGGCATGTTCGTAGGGACATTGCTCGAACCCATTCTCCTTGAAGTATGTATCGATACGCGTATTCCATGCCCGCGGTGCTTGCTTCATCCCGTAAAACACCTTCTTCAATTTCAGCACCTTCTTTTCTTCTCCGATTTTCATGTACCCGGGTGGTTGTTCGATGTAGACTTCTTCTTCGAGCACACCATTCAAGAATGCCGACTTGACATCCATTTGAAATATCGGCCATTTGAATTGAGCCGCTTGTGAAATGAGTAATCGGATTGTCTCCATTCTAGCAACAGGAGCAAACACCTCGTCATAGTCGATTCCCTTGTATCCCTTTGCAACAAGTCGTGCCTTGTATCGTTCTATCTCACCTTGAGCATTCATCTTTCTCTTGAACACCCACTTCACACCAATGGGCTGACTTCTTTTCGGCAATTCCGCTAACTCCCATGTGTTGCTGCAGTCAATTGCTTTAATCTCCTCGTCCATGGCAGTTTGCCACTTCTTGTCTCGCATCGCCTCTTCAAAACTTATATTCTCAGAATCCGACAAAAGACATACAAGGTGTACCTCATTTGTCGAATCATACAAATTTTGCAAACTTCTCATTCTGGGTTGTCGCGGTTCATCTTCATCATCAGTAGTTTCAGAATTTGTCGGTATGGTTGTTGGTGTAACAGTTGATGATTCTCTAACTTCAATGATAACCTCCATTGAGTTATTCCAATCCCAACCGCTTGCTTCATTAACTTGAACATCACGACTCACCACAACCTTCTTGCTTATCGGGTCGAGTAACTTGTATGCTTTTGTTTTCTCATCATACTGAATAAAAATATACCTTTTGGTTTTGTCTTCAAGCTTCGTTCTTCGCTGATCCGTCATGTGTGCATAGGCCACACTACCGAATACTTTGAGATGAGAGACTGTCGGTTTTTGTCCGCTCCATGCCTCTTGCGGGGTTTGATCATCCAACTTCGCATGTGGACACCGATTTTGCACATAGATGGCACATTACACAGCTTCTGCCCAAAATTCCTTCGGCATCTTCTTGCTCTTGAGCATTGACCGAACCATGTCAAGAATGGTCCTGTTCTTCCTCTCGGCCACACCGTTTTGTTGTGGAGAGTACGGTACGGTTAGAAACCGACTTATACCTTGCTCCTCACAATACTCCATGAAAACTGTTGAAGTATACTCTCCACCTCTATCAGATCGTATGGATTTGATGTGTCTACCGGTTGTCTTTTCCACCATCACTTTGAACTTTTTGAACACCTCAAACGCCTCAGATTTTTCTTTCAAAAAAATAAACCCAAGTTTTTCGTGAGAAATCATCAATAAAGGAAATAAAATATCTCTTACCCCTAAAAGATTCAGGGGTGATTGGTCCACATATGTTAGTATGAATCAACTCAAGAAGTTGCTTAGCCCGATATTCTGCCTTCTTTTGAAACGAAGTTCTCGCATGCTTGCCGAGCACACATTCTTCACAAAAATTTCCCTCGTAGTCCATGTCTGGTAGCCCGTGCACCATGTTCTTCTTTGCCAACTCGTTTAGACCACCATGATGTAGGTGACCAAAACGGAGATGCCACAGCGACGCCTTGTCTTCTACGTCTACCTGCAAACATTTTTTCTCGCACGCTTTTCAAATTCAGCTTGTACATGCGATTTCTCCCCATTTCAACTCGAGCGACCGAACGCCCTTGCTTATCTTTCAAGTGTAAAATCCGGCCTTGCATAAGTACCGAATAACCTTTCTCCATGAGTTGCCCCATACTCAAGATGTTGCTCTTGAGGTCTGGTATGTAATACACATCTTGATTGACCCAACTAAGCCATCCTTTTGTAAGTAACAAATTGTACCTTGGCCTTTGACCTCAACCTTCGACGCATCTCCAAACGACACATGTCCAGTTTCCACCTTTCGCATCTCTCCGAATAGGTGCTCGTGCCCGCACATATAGTTGCTTGCACCCGTGTCGAGGTACCACACTGTGTCATGTCGGTGTTGCCTTCGTTTTGTGTCATCATGAGAAGACCTTCTTTCGCCTCATCTTCTGTGGCTAGGTTGGTTGTCTCTTTCACCTTTTTCTCGAATCGACATTTTTTCGCGAAATGCCCCACCTGACCACAATTGTAACACTTATCAGAGTCACAATCCTTTGCATAGTGACCATATTTGCCACACTTGTAGCACTCGATGTTGGAATAATTTGACCGACCGCCTCTCCCGCGACCGCGTCGTCTTCCACGCCAATTCTGTTGGTTTGAATTCCTCTTCTCCTCATAATACCCTTCTTGACTGCGACCTCTACCACCGCGAACATTTCCTCGACCTCCACGGGCACACCCTCTACCTCTAAAGTTTTGAGAATAAAGTGCATTTTCATCTTTGATTGCTGCCTTTGTTTGAAGTGCTTGCTCAAGTTTCTCCTCCTTCTTCTTCTTCTTGCGTTGTTTGTGTGCCTCGAGAGAACCAGCGAGCTCGTCGACCGTGAGCGTTGCTAGGTCCTTTGACTCTTCTATGGCACATACGACATTCTCGAAGCTGTCGGTTAATGACCTCAAAATCTTCTCCACAACTCGCACATCGGACCTTCCGACTCCTTCATCTTCATGCCTTCCAACTCGCCGCGAAGAGTTTGAAGGCAGACTTGTTTAACTCGGTTGGCACCTTTGTACACCTTTGCCAAAATGTCCCATGCTTCTTTTGAAGTTGTTGCACTCACAATCTTCTCAAAGCCCGACTCGTCAACAGCTCGGAACAACATGTACAAAGTCGCCTTATCTTTCGATCGCGTCTCTTTCAACGCCTTGTTTTGAGCTTCCGTATACCCCGCGGTAGTTGCCGGTTCTTCGAAACCTTCTTGGACGACCTCCCAACCGCTTGAGACCCGAGAAGAGCTTTCATTTGGATGCTTCAATTCTCGTAGTTCGCTTTCGTAAGTCGGGGTAGCGGCACATTACCGGTCATACTCTCCATTGGCTCTGATACCAATTTGTTAGGAGAAGAGTAAAAACAAAAGCAGAAGTAGTAACTTTTACATTCAAACAATAGATTTTTAAATTACAAAACTTGTAACTCTACAATAAAGACACTTAACACCACAATAAACTCACATAACTTCAGAAACTTAAAAACATAAAACTGACATTTAACGTTTGTTGAATTAAACCCATTAAAAATTAAACTGACTGCTAAATTAAACTCATTAAAAATTAAACTGACACATAACTCCACATTTAACGTTTATTCAACAATGTATACAAACGTTTTAGTATAAAAAGTTGGCCCAGTGCAGAGTCTTCTATCATTATTGGGTTTGGAGACAGTCAGATGCTACGTAAGGTATGAAATAGAATAGAATATATCAATTGAAGATTAAAATTCAAACAGTAGGTTCATTTATTGAATGAATTAAAGGTACCTGAATTTGGCCATCTGAAGTTCCAATCACCAAAATTTCTTCATGGCTGTCTAGAGCCATGCAAATAACCTTGCAATTCGTACCCATTTGTAACGTGTCAACTCTATTGTGCTTTTTCTTATCCCAAATTTCCACAGCTCCTCCCTTGCACCCCAAATAAATTAATTCTGAGCTCACTGCCATAGTCCGCACTTCCGATCCAGTTTGCAGTGATCCAACCATACTGTAATTGGATTTGTTCCATATCTTGACACATATATGTGTAAAACAGTTAGCATCAACTAGCTCAAAAATTTCTATGCTTTGAAATTCAATAAATCATGAAAATCCCTATGTTTCTAGCAAGAAATGTAATTTATTTTATCATATGCCTGTGAGATACCTTTATAGCAAATCCATCCAAGGAAGAGCCAGCTGCATATATAAGATCACCATGAATTTGCAACGCATGAATAGGATTTGCTTTCCCAAGTAATTTTTTAGAACCACTTTGAATGGTGCTGACTGTTCCCGTGGCCAAATCTATATCCTGAAATATCACAAGAATATTATTACAAGAATGTTGAGATAGCATCACATTGGATTTAGACTATGTCGCACTTCTAAAACGTTGATACCTGAACACTACTGTCGTGGCATCCACAATATAATCTCCCACGAACATGAGCCAAGCACTTCACATATTTATTAGAATTTAACAACTTCGATTCTCCGTTCAATGAATGAACCTGATGAAAGAGAAAAGTGATTTCAGTACATAATGATGTTGCTTCTTTTAGTTAGTATGTATGAACTAATTGTTTAGCATTTTCAGTATTAGGGGTGAAGAAGTAGCAGAATCTGTTGCTACCCAGTTCGTGCGTGAGCAATATATAGGAAGGGAAAGGTGCAACATAATGTTCTCTGTGTGTGCGTGACAGAAAGGCATTCATAATAAGACCCCACCCCCCCAATTCAAAGAAGAACATGTATTTATAATTTCATCGAGTACCTTGACACCAGTCCCCTGCGGAATGAAACAAGCTATGCTATTGGTTACAACTAAATTATGAATCTGGTCCTTCATGTCATGCACCTGTACACAATGTATTGCTGCCTTTCCAATAGACCAGACCTGTTCTTCAACGAAACAAAACCTTTGTTAGCAGGCTGCCTGACATTGAGTTTAGAGTAACTGCAGAAAATTTTACCTTTACAGTTCGGTCAAGTGAACCACTGTATAGCCTGTCACCAGATTCAGAAATTGCCAAGTTTGTCACAGCTTTAATATGTTCTTGGATCTCTTGCAACAGATGGAATGAGCTATCCTTCAATGTCCAGACCTTCAGAAGTCGCAAAGTATTTTCCAATAAGCTTATATTACGGTAAGAGCTATTCAATCAAGTAAATCCATTCTATGATATGCAACCGAGACCCAAATATTTTGCTAATGGTCAGGTATGTCTTGTCATTTTTCGAGCTGTTAGAGAAGTATGATATATGTATCCAAAAAAAAAGAAAAAGAGAGATAAGTATGATATAAAACCATTAATGTGGTCTTGCAAGCTATTCATTCTTTCAAGCAAGTGGCGTAAAAATCCACTCTTTTTTGTCTCTCACACACAAGCTATTCAATCTTCCAAGCAAACACACACATACATACATATAGATAGATAGATACTAGCAAGTATCCTTTGCATTACATAGATTTCTTTAAATTCATGTAGAATTATAAAATATAGATTAAGAGAAAAATATTTAAAATTATAAAATATCTAAGCATAATTAACGAAAAAGAATTTGAATTCAAAATTTGAAAGAAGAGAACTTAAGAATTACACGTGTTATCCTCTAAAGGAGAGTAGAATAAGAGATTAGGTCACTATGAAGAAAATGAATTTCAATTTAATTGATAAGAGTAAATTTTATGTATTGAGGTCTTTCTTGTACCTAATTTCATCTCTATGGTAATTTCACAAATCGACATATAATAATTTATTTTCTGGTATTTTTCTAAGGAAAGAAATATTTAAATAAACTACAACAGATACAAGAAATCTGTTCTCGTGCAGACTACAAAAAAAATTATATGTTTGTTTCAATAATTAAAATTATTATTCATTATCATTTACGTACAATACTAACTCTAATTACCTTAATGGTTCCATCTGTATGGCCAGAAAAAGTTTTATCCTTAAAGCAAATGACAGATAGCACTTCTCCATTCTCACTGCAATCTTCTTGAATTAGCTCTTTATGTATCCAAATATCCTGTTCCAATAAAGAAATTTAAATCATCGTCCATGCCAATAGTAGAAAATGGATTAAGAATACACCAAACTTACTGCTTTAGATTCATTCTCTTCAACCAGAACTTCTAGCATTTCAGATGCCAAGGTAGAGAATCTCTTTAGCTCTCTCAAACCTTTTAAGATATCCTTAGTATAGGAAGTTAGTTCCCGTAAGCCATCTGAAATTCACAATATCAAGTACGATCACCATTTTTCTACTTCACATAACAATGAAATGCAGGAGTTTGAACACGTAAATCTACTAAAAAGCTCATAGATTCATGTAGACAGAAACTATTTTCATCTTTTTGAAATAATATGCTAATAAAGAAGCCAACAATAATATAGACAGTATCTGATTTAAATCTATGTTGAATTCTGTATTTGAGTGATTTATCATGCCTCCAGGAACTGCCAATCTGCAGTTATTCCTTCTTAGACAAGATTTTTGCTTGTTATTATCTAGTTGTACCGTATTTTTTAAATGAAGGTTGCAAAAACTGGCTTTGTTAGTGAAACTAACCAGAGAAATGAAGAAAGCTATTGAGAGCAAGCATAGAAAGGATTCTGTCTTCTATGTCCTTAGCAGAATTTAATTTAGTTATGAACTGCTTCAGCAAGCAGACACGGGCTGCTCCTTGAATCCCCGTATCTGGTAGTATGGTCAACATGTATATGAGCCACGTAGCTGATATAAAGCATGCTGAACGTATTTCTGGATTTCGGCTCTTCATGCCATCTGCTAAAGCCTCAAAAAGTATACCGAACTCGTGGTTCGCCAGAACAGATGCAATTTTTCTTTCCCAATCATCAGCCGCCTTCTCTTCTTCCTGTCGATTCGAATTGAATAATAAATACACAAAGTACTCTACAGCATTATCTTTAAAATAACATCATGATTGATGCCAAACAAAAAATAAGCAATCAGAAAGAATGTTTGGCAAGCAGAAAGCAGAAACTCAAAATACAGGAAGGGTTTTGAAGAACTTTACTATAGTTATTTCAATTTCTGGGCAGAAGTTGCTGATCTGATCCACCTTTACAAGACATCTGGAACTTCTGTCAATACCTGCACGTTTAAGAAGGACTTCTCTGGTAAGAGGCTTTCCAGAGAAGTTGAACCTTCCTTGCAGTGACATGATTGTATCAGCAGCTGCTAATTGAGAAGCAGGGAAATCTGTGTTTCTCAGGCATGAAATAAGAGTATCTATCGCCTCTTCACGGTATATGCTCATCTTTCTTGGCTCTAGCTACAAATGGGATGATGAATATTAACTCCATATTACCACAGATTTCTATCTTTAAAGGCAGTAATACAAAGATAGCGTAATTAGACATCATACAATTAGTTCCTATCTTTAAGATTTAGTGAGCATCAAACATTCATACCAGAAGATCAAGTTGGAGTAAAAGGCCAGCCATGACTGGACATTGGTCTTGAAGGGCTGTCTGCAAATAAATAAGGAGTGTATGCATTGTACTAAAAGGTCCTTCTTCCTTTATAATGTGAAGGATTTGTTCATTGAATGTCCTCCTGGAGGGAACCCAATCGGAAGTGATCAGACATAAAAAGTAGATTAGTTTAACTTTAATTAATGTAAACATGTAAATGAAAGAGATATACCTATTTAATTTGACTAACTCATAAAAAAATTGAACAATCTTAAAACGCTCCTCATCAGCTGCACCCATGAAGCTTTCCAAAATAGGAGATAATTCTGCTTTATCAGCAATGGTGTTCCTGCAAGTCCCGTCCTCTTGCATGCATCTCAATAAGATCTCCACTGCAGCAATCCTCTCCTCTGCCCACTCAGCTCCCAAACTGCCAATAATATTTCCAATTGCTTTTTCAGAGAGCACAGTCTTGACAACAGAAGATGCATTCATCTCTTCACCGTTTCCATTTCCAATAATCCGTGCCAGTAAAAGCACTGCAGCTGTTTTGGGCTTTAAACACATCTTAACCAAGTCTTCCTCTTTCTTATAGAAAACTGTTATCAGAGACTCCACCATGACCATCTCTGTAAGACTTATAGTGGAAGGTTTTAGGAGATACAACAGCACAACAGCCTCTGTCAAGCCTTTCTTGAAAAGAGCCATGATACATTCCACGTCAGTGTCCACACGCGTAAGGGTCTGAATAACAGCATTGTCTCTAGAGCACATCTCGGCCAGAAGGAAAACTGCTGCTTGCAGCACCTGGGGCTCAACAGAATTGAAAAGGATCTCCACAAAGCCATTAATTATCGGAGGTTTTGATAGCATGCTATGGATATCCACTCCCAGATTCACTCTTCTCCACAACTTCTCAATTTGAAGCACGGCCATTTCAGATTCCTCGAGAATCTCTGACATATACAGATTATTGATTGCATTGCGTAACTCACTAATCATCCCATCCAAGGTGGCTTGTGTTATAACACTATCAGGAGAAGTTGAAGGCATTGTTGACTTCACTACTGCCTCGGTATTTTCGTATGGACTCTCACGTGGTGGAGGAACCGAATTTGTGTTGTGTTCTTTCCAGCTAGCAATTAGGCGTTTGAGCACATAATTTGTTTTAGGTAGCTTGGTATTTTGCAGCTTCTGGCGAGTAATAGGACAAGTTGAATTCCCTCTATTGAACCATTCCTCGATAGCTCTACGTTCATATGTTTGACCTGTCTCAAGAGTCACTGGGTCATCAAATATGTTACTTGTTATTGGACAGACAAAGTCCTTTGGAGGTGTATGTTTCCCATTTCCATAGGGAGGGTTATCGAAGTCTGCCATAGGATAATCTGGGGAACTAGAAGCAGAAAGAATCCAAGTTTACGAAAATGCCGCAGACCACGAAATAATGAAGAATGGCATTTAAATATGACGTACCCCGTGGATTCTTTGAAGATGGTTTGCATTTGTTCGTGGGTTTGGCTTTGTTGAGGCTCCAACAATGCCATATTTTTGTCCTTTTCCTACAGGACACAGATACATCACTAAGCATTTAAAGAACTAAAAGAACAAGCATAGAAAATTCAGTCCTCATTGGATTTTTTTCCCCTCTTGGTATCATCAATTACCTCGTTTTCTGCTTCAGAGTCTGAGGAAGAACAAAGAAAATTCTCATTTAAAGAAAACTCAGTTTCAAAGGCCGAGTGTAAATAGACTGGTGTTGTCCAATTTTTTGAAGATTTATGGGGTTTGAGGATTCTCGGAGAGACTCTATGAGGATAAAATGATGCGTGAGAGGATCTGCTGCTAGAACTGCTGCTCAAAAATTCAATAGATGCTTCCCTTTCGGACCATATTGGCTGCACGAATCAGATGGTAGAAAAAAAAGTGACAGAATGATCATGAAATTCATGTGCCTGAAATTGTCAAACCCAATGCAAAAGAAACTCCTAGTTGTCCCTATAATCATATATTCCAGTCTAGGGGCCTCAGTTCAAATACAAATTTATTTCCTAGCTATTAGAAAACAAAGTATCACAAAACAAAAATCATCCATTCATTCATTTGGTTTAGAAAATCACGGACAGTGACTATGTAGTATGTACTACTCCTGACAAATTTTGAGTAGCTCCAATTTAAATGAAATCTGCATGGTAAGGTTTCGCTAAATAGTGAAACATCATGAACTCCATTATTATGCTGGAGAAAAAATCTTCTCTAAATGAGCAAAGAACCAATACTTCTCTTGTTTGCTGCAAAGTGCAAACTTGACCCAACAAGCCAATTCAATAAGCTTTTCTTTTTCCATTTTTCCCCATATGAGATTTTAGCATTCTCTCTTAGTATAAACTATAAAGGAGGTCTTAAAATCACACAGGCCAGCAAAATTTTCAAAATTGACCCGATTATTGTTAACTTGATTCTAGAAAAGTGCCAAAGAAACACGACATTAAAGCTGGCCAATCCTTCCAAAGTCGAGGCATATCTTCCAAAAGATTAGCTGCCTTTACAAGTAACCCTCTATTATCTTAAAATCCAAACAATAAAAAAATTAGAATGTTTTAGAAAGTGAATGAGCATTCTAACTTTACAATAATTTGAAAACTATTTAAGAAAAAAACTTCTGATCTCCATGTTGTTTAATGGTTAGTACACATGAAACATGAAACATGAAAGTTGTGAATTTTTTTAGGTTTCTGCATCTAGATATCATAAAATTCTATCAGTACTACAAGATATTAAGATAACAAAGGTAAACACTTATCAAATTGATTATAAAAAAGCAATAAATTCGTAAACAAGCATATATAGTGGAATACAACATTACATTATACCGTCCGTTCTCCAACACAGGCATTCGTATCTCCTCCTCTCTGTTCTCCCTACTGTCACCTTCTCTGGCGCTCTTCAGTATCAACAATGGTGGACTAATTGACGCGTCTCCATTTTCATTCACCAAAACCTCTTTGAAGTACTCTGCAAAAACTCTGCAATTCTCATTCAGAACCTCTTGGTACTCTCTCTCCAACTCCCTCAGCTTCGAGGCTTGATCTCCGCTCATCTTCGACAACGATTTCGTGCTAGGCATGACCACGGACTCGTCCCAAACCGAGTTATCATCAATCGTATTGTCATGGTTCAAACTCGCAGAAGCTGAGGACAAAATTCGTGTTCTCTCTTCATCGAACCACCGGAAAACAGGGAAGAGGTGGAGAGAAAAGAGGTTTTCGTAGAGAGCCGGCGCGATTTCGGATCGGGCTAGGGAAGGCTTCGAATGGAAGATTCGAAGGAGGCTTATGGCGGATTCGATTGGGCGGTTGCAGAGGTTGCGAATGAGGGAGAGAAGGAAGGAGGAGACAGGGTATTCAGGGAGAGGAAGGAGAAGCTTCTCGGCAATGGTGAGGGAGGAGATGCGGATGGCGGGGCTGGAGTAGGAGATTGCTCTTTCGAGACTGTCCGCGGCGAGGTTCAGGTGTTTCAAGGTGATTTGGTTGGAAATCGGCGTTTCGCGGTGGAGAGTGGCAATGAGGTGGCGGCGGAGTTCGGATTGGGAAAGGACGCTCGAGATGAATGCCGTGGTGTGGCGAAGGATCTGAGCTCGAGTGGTGGCGGTTACGGTGGTCATGGCAGCGGTGGCAATGGAAGTGAGATGCTCGAAAGCTTGCTCTGTTTGTGGGGTTTATGACGTTAACTGAATATCAGTAACTGATTCAATTTGCCGGAACGAAAAGTCTCGGACGGCAGCCTGTAAAATGACTAATGCGACCCTTTATATTTTACAACGAAAAAAAAAAAGGTTGCTGTAAGAAATTAGTATTAGTTAACAAAATATAATATCTATTACATATTGTAAATTAGTTAATAGAGATTTTAATCAAAGTCTTACGAATTTTGCACAGTCCTCTAAAAAGTTATAGGTCTACTACAGTGTTTAAAAATCTGGCCCGGCCATCGACTCGGCTAAAGTCAGGGATCACGGGTTCAACTGGAGGGTCATGGGTCACTATGCTAACCCGATTTTATATATTAAAAAAATATAAATATATATATATATATTCTATATGAAAATATTAAAAAACAAACCAAGGATCATTAAAAATTCAAAATATACTTAACATAATTCACATATTATTACCACAAGTCAATATTACACAACCTAATTAAAGTATTAAAATACCAAAGTACAAAACTCATATTCTAATTGGGTCACTACGTTGACCCCTCTTTTGAGAAGATCCCTGACAAAGGAAAATTTAAAGAAAGTAAAAATGAGTTTTTGTTTTCCATCGACGATCATAAGGTTTTCATTTGAGTAGATAGAATTCTTACATTTTCTAGAAGATTCACGGCAACGAGGTGAAGATTGAAGACGTCTATGTCGCTAGGTGTAAAGAACCACTTCAAACTCACGCAAGAGCCATTTGGGCTTGAAGAGTGGATATTGCATAAACCCAATTTTTTGTTTACCTTTTGTGCTTTTTATTTAATTCCACAAGTGGGGGCCGTGAGGATCGAACTCGTGACCTTATGGTCACTCAAACTTTTATATATGTAAAGAACCACCTCAACCCAAAACACCTTATGGTGTTGAGTAAGGGTCTTTTTAATGATTTATATTATTCTCTAACACTAGGAGAGAAGAGAACGATTAGATTTAGGTTTGCAAGCATTTTTATTTTATTTTTTAATAAAACGATGTTGTTTCGTGAAAATTTAAAAAAAAAAAAAAAAAAACATTCAGTGACCCCCTCTGACCCGGGAGTCACTACAACTCAGCCGGATTTTGGAGATCGAAAGGGTCGATATACATATAAGATTCAACTTGTGACTCTGACCCGGGAGATGGGTGAAATTTTAAAACACTGGTCCAGTAGTGTTATGTAGTTATGTCTTTTTACAATTACAGTCAAAATAGCATTCAAAAATGGTGAAAGGACAGACATAATTTAATGGGTCTATAGTAATTGCCCCATCAATATTAAACACGGTACATACAAGTAGAGACGTTGAAAAGTTTAAAAAAAGGGCTTATGTTTTCTTCTGCAGCAGGAATTGAGATTTTTTTCCTGCACTCACAGCAACAGTGCCCATTTGTTTTTTTCTTTTTGTTTTTTTAATTATAAAGTGGGCTCCACATAGAAAATTGTCTCACTCACATGAGATAAGATATTTCCAGCAAAATAAGATAACTATTTCCCTTAAAAAAATATAAAAACAAACTTTTACCAGATCTGATTTAAGGCAATTTGGTATGAGAAATCAAAACTGGGGGTTAAGTTAACATAGCAACATCTCCACAGCTGTGTGCAACCGGAAATGGAGAGAGAGTAAAGACAAAAGAGTGAGGACATTTTAGTAACTCTAACCACTTTGAAATTACGCGGCAAAACATGAACCGTGGGACCCGTTTTGCCGCCCAGCCGGCTCGGTTTGACCGTTAATCATATCACAAAAAAAAAAAAATTCTCCCCGGGACGCATGCTGGATTTAATTCGGCAGTTCTCATCTTATTGTTACGACTACTTCAAAGTTATTTAAATTAATATTTCATTTTTATCGATTTGCATTAATTTGACGTGGTTTAGTGTCTTGATTTGATTGAAGAAATGAAATAGTATACAGCTATGAAATCCTAGTTGCATCGTATAATTAATTTAATTCCTAAAAATCATGGTCATGCTTTGAAAATATTGGTCAGTCTAATTATTTTATACAATCTCAGAAGTAAGGGCAAGGCCACAACCCAAGACCTAGCATATGGGCCAGTTGCCAATCAGGTTATTTATATCTTGACTCATCAGAACATAAAGCCCTGGCCCATGATCAATTTTTTTTTTCTTTTTTGTATTTTTAACATTTAATTTTTGACAATGCCCAAGAAAGAAAAGTACCAACTACTAGGCCCTATTGGAAAGTGAAATTTGAGCAAATGAGCAAAAGACAAGAAGAAATTATGACATCAAAACGACCAGCAGGGACAAAGATCGAATAAGAAACGATGCATGTCACATCTTGAACATCTAAAAGAAGAATAATTGGGCGGTGGAAATGATGTTTATGACTTTATACCACCTCATGCTGCTGGCCATGATTGCTGCTATATTCCTCATGCTTTCTTGCAGGTATCTCGTTTGATAGTCAAGGCAAGCGTGTAGTTTCCATCAACATGTTCCATGAAAAATCTTGTGATGCAAAAAGGCTGCTTCAAATGAAAGATAATTAGAAAAACAGAACTTAAGCCCGCGCATTGTTGTTGTTGGAGACGTGATTGGTGGGGTGCTATTTTCATGTCGTTGTCCTTTGAGATTGTGTTGTGTGCAGCATTGGATATCATTATTCACATATATACGTAAATACAGATTTTCAAGTCACATGTAGCTGTTTTGTCTTATTCTTGGAAGCTGATTCATCATCGGTTGTTTACACTTTACACTACTCAGTGCAGCATATAAAAGGATTTTGAGTTTCAATTATTCATGATGACCTATTTGGCCATATATGGTCGACACAGGATTGTCTTAAAATTATTGATGTTAGTATGGGTAACGTTACAGACAAGTAATTTTTCTCATAGACCTTATAGAAATATATTAATGATTATTTATTCTTATTTTGCTTTCTCTTCTTTTCTTTGTATAAATTTAACCATCAATTGCTCTGTTGTCTAAACTATAGGTACATAACTATTTTGATAAATTAATATATGAGTAAATACCATTTTTAGTCCCTAACAAAAAACACGGTCCCCACTTTAGTCCCTTACAAAAATAAATTAGTCAGTTAGTCCCTAACAAATTCAAAGTTGACCCATTTAGTTGAAATCGTGGTCCCTCACAAATTCAAAAAAAAGACCCATATTAGTCCCTCAAAAGGACTAAAATGGGTTCACCTTGAATTTGTTAGGGACTAACTGACTAATTTATTTTTGTAAGGAACTAAAGTGGAGACCGTGTTTTTTTGTTAGGGATCAAAAACGATCTTTACTTTTAATATATAGCTTGACTTTGAAAGATAGTGATGATGAAAACTAGTTACGTCTCATCATCTAAGTTATGAAAAGTTTAATAATAGTTAAATTGTTTTTTAAGATAGTTATAGTTATATTATATATCACTCCAGCAGTTCAAGATGTTAAGTGAAGACTCTCTTTTTTTTGTCTTGTGCTGACTTGATTCCATTAGAAAAGAGATTCCATTAGAAAGGAGAAACGGTAAAGATCGGACTTGTTATAAAGAACCAATTCATTCTAGTCTTTTCCGCTTGCTTTCAGTGTCTTCTTTAGCTCAGTTGGCTGACGTTTTTACTAAACCATTAGCCACTACACCGTTCCAATCAGCCACTTCCAAGTTGGGTCTCCTAAATATCCATGGCCCAACTTGCAGGGTTACACAAGGATACAAACCAGCCAAAGCCCAAAGCACAACAATAATTCAACTCAAATTCTTAATGTGTTGAATGATGATATTTTTAAAGGTTTATATTATTTTCTAATACAATTCCTCACGTAAGAGTCATTTGGACTTGAAATATGTATATTACATATAAGTGACCCCAGGTCATATAATTGAAGACCTATCAGTAATTTTATAGTATATTTCTTTAAAGGAAATGTTATATTTACAAACTTTTTGTTTACAAACTACACTAAGTATGACCGGTCATACTTCAATCAAGAGTGTATGACTGGTCATTCTTAGTGTAATTTGTAAAAAAAATTTGTAAACGGATCTTTTCTTTTTCTTTAACATATTTTGAAATAAATTTTTTATAGTTCAAGCATTTTTAACGATATTTTCATATTTGTAAAAAATTCGAATAGGTTTCTGCTCACTAAACTGTATAAACTTCATTACTGACTAGTTACAGTCACTTATAAATCATTCTGCAGTACTGTTACAGATGTTAGAGACAATTAAAATTTATAAACTATACGGATCTTATTAAAAACAATAATTAAACCATGAGAATTTAATTAAAACCTGTGATAAGCATAAGAATCCTCTTAAAAACTTTTAAAATATAAAAATTCAGCAAAACTACGCAGGACTACAAAATACTTTAATCTTTAACAATTATTACTTGTTTGTATATAAAAGTTTAATCTGCACATTAGTTATTACAGACCTTTATGTTGCACAAATTTGATAACAAACTGTCAAAATTATTTCGTTCCGTAAACTTTTTGTTTGTGACTTCATATAAAATGATATTTTACACGAGCACTGTACCACAACACAAAATAATTAGCCCCCATAATGGTCACATAGCTGGCTGTAATTACAGTTAGTTCAATTAACGCAAGTCATAAACTACTGCCTTATGTATGTACATGTATTGACCAGAATAACTCTCATAGAAAGGTGACCACATGCTTTCCCAAGGTAACTACTTATTCCACGCACTTCAAAGTTCCTTTTCTCTATATAAGATTCTCTTTTTCTCCCAGGCGAAGACTAACTTGAATATCAGGAGAGTTTCTTGCTAGCAAGTTAGCAACACTTTTCGGCTAGCTAGTCTAATTCTGTTTTTTGCCTGTAGGTGGTACATTGCCGCTCTCCATTAAACCGTCTTTTTTAACCCGCCAAAAAATCTCCAAGAATTTTACTCCCTTAAAATTTCGTCCCCTACTAGAGTTCATGATGCAGAGGAGAAATTGTAAAGAAACTTGGGATACACCACCTCAAAAGTTAGCTCAAAGGATGGGAGTGTCCAATACCTTATAAACTCCACATTAGTTGCACATACAACAATGTGGGACTATATATCTCAACACGCCCCCTCACCTGAGAGCCCATTGGGCTTGAAGAGTGGACAATGCAACAGGCACAGCCTACCTGTGCTAAGAAACGCCACAAGAGAAGGTGGGGGGTGGCGAGGCTTTGATACCATGTAAACATGTAAAGAACCTTGGGAGTTGGGATACACCACCCCAAAAGCTAGCTCAAAGGGTGGGAGTACCCAAGACTTTATAAACTCCACATTAGTTGCACATACAACCAATGTGGGACTATATATCTCAACAGAAATCTAGAAAAGAAGAAAATGAAGGAAAGTTAGAGAGAGAGAGAGAAATATAAGAATTTTTTTTTTCTAATCTCAAATTGGAATGGAATGAAAAAAATGATATTAGGAGAGTGTCCTACATGGATAAAAAATGTTCGAATTAGACCAGTTAAAAAAAACTATATATAAATATATAACATTAGTTCCTTAATACCAATTCTTACATATAGTTTAATTTTGTATCTATGTTAGGGAAATCAAGTATCTAATGGTCAGAAACTAAGCGCAGTATGTATCAGCATAAAGACACAAAAACTAAGCCCAGGGGAAATGATTTCAGAAAAAAAAAATAAAAATATAGCCCAGATAAAGTTAAAAAAAAACACCAGAAGCGATTGCCTTTTTTCCTTGCAAAAGCCACTGCTTTTTCCCTTCTTAAACACCACTAGACACTTGGTGCATCTAACTTGGTTTAGATTTTATTATAATTAATTTTGAAAGCATTGTTCTTAAAAAAAAAAAAATTTGAAAAATTAATGTTAAAAAATTGGTTTGTATTTGGAAATGATTTTTTAAAGTGAGTTTGAATGGTTAAATAGAATCATTTTTAGCATGAAAATTGATTGATTGAAACAAATGAAAAAGCAGATGATAATTTAAAATATAACCAAAATCCAAGGGGTGAGTTGTTCTTATACCATTGCCTCTAGCTCGATTATGCAGATCAATCAGTCCTTCTAATTATGCTGCACATTCATCATCTCATATGAGAATCCAATTTATTGTGCATTTCCATTTTTGTTGATTCAAACACAAGTTAATTTGGTGACCCATTTTTATCATTTTTATTTTTATTTTTATTTATTAACTAAATTCAAATATTAAGTATTTTAATATTTTTATATATATTTAATAATTAAAGTTCATGAGTATACTTAATAATAAATCGATCAAATTTCTGAATTTAAGTTTTCTCTTCTCTTTATTAAAGTTAGCATCCATTATTCTCTTTTTCATTAAATTAATTTAATAAATATTATAGGTTGATAGAGAAAAAAAATTAAGTTACAACAAAATGTGAAAGTTGTTAACTCTACTTGAAGGTGCAGACATGAGCACATAACGCTCTTTAAGATAAAATTGTTTAAAATAAGGGAAAAATAAGTATCCCTTTGAATGACACAAGTTTGTGTCCTTTTTTAGGTGTTTTACACAGAATATGACCGGTCATATTGTGTGTAAATCTGAAAAGTTACTTTTTTTTCTCTCTTCCCAGTCACATCGCTGATGTATAAAGTGAAAAAAAAAACTTTTTAGATTTACACAAAATATAAACTATCATACTTTGTGTAAGTCACTAAAATGATACAATTTATATCCTTTTAAATGACACCCACTAAACCTGTAAAATAAATAAGAAACAATAAATGTATTCACTTTGATTTTAATTCAAAACGACAATCTTAATCCACTGGACTTACTTTATAAGCAAACACATTCTAGATGAATTTTTTTTTTCTAAAGTTAGCAATCCCTTCATGTTGCTTTCCTTCCTTTGGTTTGTATACCCATGTACAGTTATACTTAACAACTAAGAAAGTCACTGCAAATTGTAGATCAAACCAACAGTTCGGATTAATTGCGCCAAGGCATGCTTAAATCTTGTTCTCCTCATTGATTTTTATGATTAAGGAATTACTGCTATATATCTGTCAGTTGAAAATGGCGTTGCTTTCAGAATACATAAAGTTTCATGCTTTAAATTAAGGAAGCGTCCTCCGACCACTAGTAAAATGGAATAAAATATATATATAGCTAGGAAGCCTCGTTGAAGAAACATATAAACGCAACAAAAGAAAAGGGTACCCCGCATGCGACATAGACAACTGCATGCGTGTTAAAGCCAAAAGTTTGTGCTGACCACTAAGAGTTTCAATATATATATATATATATATATATATATATGAGGCAGGATCCTTTGACACCGGTGTCAAAGAAAAAGTTTGACACCTCATCTGAGAACCGTTAGATTAAAAAAAATCAACGATTCTGATTTGTAAACATGTGACACCATTGATTTTTTTTAATCTAATGGTTCTCAGATGAGGTGTCAAACTTTTTCTTTGACACCGGTGTCAAAGGATCCTGCCTCTATATATATATATATATATATATATATATATATTGGCTTAACATTTCTGCAGCAGCTGTAGATAGTGTTATCTACCGCTGACACAGAAAAGTGGGCCCCACGACTTTAAAAAAAAAAAAAAACTCAGGATCCGTTGTCGTATCCTAGGATCTGGACGCGGATCCTTGCTTGCTGTAAGTACAGCAGCTGCAGAAATCATTTTGTCTATATATATATTAAAATTATTTCTGCAGTCGCTTTACACAGCAACAATAAGTATATGGTTATGATTTCCCACATTTAATGCTTTCATCCTTTGTATGGTTATAATTCTCTGCATTTAATGCTTTCAAGTATATATATATATATATATATATATATATATATATATATATATATATATATATGACAAGTATTTGATTGCTGCACGTATAGTAACTGCAGAAATATAAATATATATATATATATATGAGAAGGTTATATTTTCAAATTTTTTGTTTACAAACTACATTAAGTATGCTGCACGTATAGTAACTGCAGAAATATAAATATATATATATATATATGAGAAGGTTATATTTTCAAATTTTTTGTTTACAAACTACTTTAAGTATGACCGGTCATACTTCAATCAAGAATGTAAAACCGATCATACTTAATTAGTGTAATTTGTAAAAAAAATTGTAAACGGATCTTTCTCTATATATATATATATATATATATATATATATATATATATATATATATATATATATATATATATAAAGTTCAATTACTGCTCAAGAAGCAGACTTCAAATGATATATTATAATCATAAGAATTATTGTATATACACATTAAAATCTAGCATTGTACGACATCTTAATTAAGCTAATGAAAATAAAATAAAATCTTGATTGCGATGAATTAAGGAGTCTTAATTAACAAGGGGTTGCAAATATATGCTTGACGGTGCACACATTTTATTCAGGAATTGTATGGCATCATGAGCAATCAGCCTTAGATGATTTGTAGCAGATTGACTGCTCATGATGTTATACAATTTCCATGAATTGCCCTCTCTCTGTGCTGCCACGTACTTACATAAATATATATATGCTCTACCCCAAATTAATAGTAAATATCCGATCTAGCGAAATCCACCACCAAATGTAGGAGCCCAATAGTCAGCTCCATTGTCACTTCCAACTTGCAGCGTGCATGACACTGGAACCAGACACAACCCTCTACTCCTCAGGTCCTTCTTTGCTTCTTCTTCACAATCCTAATTAATTAACAACAATAAAAATCAATATATATTATGGAATTTGGTTAATCATTATTAAAGAATTAGAAGAAAAAATCATTAGCAGTATTTACCTGCTCACTAGCTGCTTTCCTCTTCAAACAGTTTTCATTCAGCAGCTATAACCAGAAAGTAAAATAAAATGAGAATTTAATGATTAACCATTCAAGTATTCACCTATATAATTTGTGATGCGGTAAAAGAAACCACTTGTTTGATAATTGATATATTCATCTTAGAATAATATTATATCTGATAAAGCTGGTGACATGCATTTCACTTTAATTATCTACTTTCTTCATTTGATATATAATAGAATGCAAATTGAAGTACTGGTAGCTTGTTTTTCAAAATACAAAATCCCCAAAGCCCTTTGTTAATGGATCCAAGGAAAAGCATACCTGACCAGGGTCTTCAGGGAATATACAATTCTTCTCTCCTTGAACCTAACATTACATAATTACAATGATCACTCAATTAGTACTATGAAAATACCCATTAATTAATTAGTATGCTGGCGCACATGCAAGAAAGAGTGATTATTCTTTCTTGCTTTGGGAAGTGAGAAACGGCTTTATGAGAAATGGGTTGATATTATTTCTTACAGATTGTTGTTGCCTCATGTTTCCTGATCCAGTGCCCAAGTATGGAAAGCTAAGGGCCTGCATTCACATGGAAGAGAGTATTTTTAACTTCAAAAACTAAAAGGGTTTAACAGTATGCTATCACTATTCAGTACTATTCACTGACTCGTGCTTGTTAAGAAAAATAAAGAAAGGAGAAGAAACATTACCTCAATTTGAGTCTGAAGGAATCTGATATACCCAATAGATTCTAATAGGACAGACGCCGTGTCAGTCTGCAAAAGTGAAAAATACCATACACCACAGTCATATTCAAGTCGTCTCTTCTGTGTAAATTTGTTTATTTAATTTATATGTAGAAAAATTAAAGAAAGAAGGGATAGGGAAGATGAATTATGACAAGAAAAAGTATTGTTAATTTTCTTTAACATTGTTTGTTATTCTTTTGGAGCTAAGGAACGAGGGTGGACAAGTAAACTTTTCTTAATACCTTCTTTCTATTCCAGTTTTGGATACAAATTAAGTTTTATATGCCTTTCCAATTGAATAAAGTAGGCTAATATACCTTTCCAAATGGGGAAACGAGTTGATGAAGGGCAGTAATTCTGTCACCTAATTTCTCCTTCCTAACCTGAAATGGAGAAGAAGACATCATTTAACTGTGTGGGACAGGTACATGCTTAGAAGTTGTATATATATATATATATATATTGTTGTTTATTCAATATGTTGGCTTGCGGTGATTCTTCATTTTGAGATAAAATGAGAAAGAAAGTTAAAAAAACCATCATGATTAATTGGGAATAAGACAATCAAGAAAGACAACAGTTACCACCCACACATGATGTTTGTGTGGAGAGTTCAGGGTTGGAAGTTTCTGTCTAGTTGTTTGCAATTGAATATATACCTTAAAGCTCGACTGAGTTGTCGACTGTTGAACCCTAGCTTTCTTGAATGCCCCACCAACTGCAGTGCTATTGCACTTGAGAAACAAAGAAATAATTTTTTTGTTAGAATTATAACTAAAAAAAAAATGTAGAAACCAAAAGGAAAATAGAAATTTTATTGTGTGCGGTTTCTTAGTCTAAACTAAAGCATGGCCAGGTATAGAGTAGCATTCATTTTCATATAAAGAAGATATAGAAAAACGAAGCAATCCAGTTTTTGATCTACAATGAAGAAAGAATAGAAGAACCGCTTTATGTTCATCATAAAAAATAGTTGGAGGACCATTGCCTTTATCAAATATATATATATTTATTGGGAAAAATTAATAATTTTTAAATATTCATAAACATGAAAGCTTTTCGGTGGCCAAATTTAAAGATTTCAATTGACAATTGGTTTGATTAGTAAAGTAAATCACGAAGATTAAATGTGTAACTCGTACCAACCAAGAAAAGAAAAACGGTAGATTATCACATAATTAATGAGGGATCCATAAGCATGTGTTATATTTGTTATACCTCAGAAGATGGATCTGGTGGAGGAGGCCTCGCATCGGTGTTATTGTTAGAAAAATCCAACATGCTACTGCTGAAACTTGTTACACATGATTTTGGAGAATTAGAAGGTGGCACTATTTGAGACCAAGTGGGTTTTGGTGCCTGAAATTCTTCGTTTCCATGCCCATATACATAGCTGTTTATCGAACTTTCTTGCTTAACATCAACAAGAGAAGCATTTGGATCCTGACTTAGCATTTGTTCCTCCCACTTCTCTAACTTCTTAGACTCATCAACCTGGCACATACCACCTGCCTTATGATCTTCTTCAGACACCAGTCCACTCCTGTTTCCAAAACCATACCAAAAAAGACAAAGACAAAAACAAAAAACAATTGGATTAGCCATGTTTGTGTATGTATGTGTGTGTGTGTGTGTGTGTGTGTGTGTGTGTGTGAGAGAGAGAGAGAGAGGGTTACAGGAGTAGCTGGCTCCATGACTCGGGAAGCTCTTGATTGAGATCATGCCAGGAAGGGAAAGGAAGAGAAGAAGTGGGAGCATATGGAGTTAGAAAGTTAGAAGGAGAAGCTTGTTGAGAAGCTGGAGGGTGCATGTTATTGATGTTCCACCAGCTGTTAGGGTTTCCGGCCATCATTTGTTGCACCGGTGAGCTCTGAAGGATACCTCTATTCATGCCTTTGCTTTCCTTGATAATCTCTCTCTCTACAAAGAAAAAGAAATTTTCCTTTCTCTTTCTTTCTTTCTTTCTTTTTTTTGATGCTCCAGTTCAGCTCAAACAGGGTCTTTGTAGAAACTTTGAGAGGTCCTCCTGTGGTTGAATAAGTAGAGGGGGGGGGGAACACTAGCTACTGCCTGGTACTAGAGTTTTTTTTCAGAGAATGTGAATAATCATAGAGTTTAATTCGAGAACCTTTTCCCTTTGCTTTCTCTCTTTTCTTCCTATTCTTTATTGCTTTGCTTTACTTTCATGTTTTTTCTTTTCTTCTTTGCTTTTCTATTTCCCCCCCTATCTTGCTTTAATTTGCTTTATCTTAAAGTGGGACATAAAAGGTTGTAGCAATTCCCATAATTAAGAAAACCAAAAAATATGCATCTTACCATAGCCACTCTCGACTCTCGAGTGCACCATCTTTCTATCATATCTACCCACGTGGCGTGTTATGAGGTTTGTACATTACAAAGCCTTTTAATAGATGAGACGTCTAAAATTTGGGAAATTTAATTTGTGTCCTACCTAAACACTTACACCTTCTTATCCATTAACTCGATCGGCATTCATTACTTAAGTAGTTGCAAATGTGTTATGTAGCCTGGTTGTTTAGTGAATTTATTTGCATTATATCCTGCGATTTCAAAATGATATTCTTTTAAAATTTGGAAAAAAAAAACAAAACATTTTAAAAAAAATTATATTTTAATAGAGAAGTAAAAATTTTAAACATCGTGTATTTTTTTTTTCAAATTTTAAAATAACATCATTTTAGGATTGTAAGAAATATTTTCCTTATATATTTATGTATGCAATGGTTAAAGATTACTGGTTACATGTCATTATTAACGAATTTCGAGTCATATATAATTAGTAGTATTGTTTTGGTTAAGTTTTTCTTTTAGTAATTAAATTTTGGAGAAAAATATTTCTCCCAAAAATAAAGTTATCTCCAACGAGCTCAAAATGACGTTGTTTTGTAGTTATAAGATTAAAAAATTATAATAATAAACTAATATAACTCTGTAATATATTAGAATTACAAAACACCTTGATATCGTTTTATATTTACCGAAGATAACTTATCTTCATTAACCCCGAAAAAACCCTTTACCAATTGAATGGTTTAAGTCACGAAAACTGCTTAATTTTTGTGCTCTCAAAGTAGAATAAAATTAATTAGTCGGATATGTAGAGATGCCTTCTAGTTTTAAAAGAAGAAGAAAAGTTATCCGTAGCCCAAATTATTTTACTTGTATAATGTTGTTTTACTAATTAAACGTTGGCATGGAGAGAAAAGTCTTAGACACAAGTGAAATTTATTTCTTTTGATAAAATAAAAATTAAGGGTTTGTATGTAAAAGTAGAAGGAGTCAATATCAAAATGTACTTGTTTATATTGAAAGTAACAAAGAAAGGAGAAAAAAACAAATATCATTTTCTATTACTCTCATTTCTATAATTTATTTCTTAATTAAATTTATCAAAGTAATAATTTAAAGAAAATTTGTTATTTATTGCGAAATCTTTCCCGGGACTAGACACGAATGAGCTGGCAGCGTAACAAAAGCATTAACCACTTACTTTTTAACCAATCACTTAAAAAAAAAACAGCCGAAACGGCATTCATTTGGTATGCTTTCAATTATTCGTTTGTCGTTTTTGTGAATTCTCTTTTTACAAAATATAGTATTTTTCAAATTTAAATGATCAAGCAAATAAATGTCCCAACAAAACTATTAAAAAAAAAATTGCCTATTCATTTATGTCTTTTACATTTGTGATAAATTTTATACATAAGCATAAATTAATAAATTTAGACATGATTTCTTTTTTCTTTTTCTTTTTTTGTGTGGGACATGATTTCTTTTTCATATGGACAAGAGGTTAAAATCAAAGATATCTTCCAAGTTATATAATCCCATAATTGGCTTGACTTAATATCTTTTATATATTTTTCACTCTTCCGTCAGTTAGTTATATACGCTTCAAACTGAAAAATAGAACGATTTCATTGCCAAAAATAAATAAAGAAACATTAGGGAGATTAAATGTTGGACACAGAAATTAAATATTAAATTAGTGGAACAACGTTTACCCGGAGCGTTCAGCTTTGCTTCGCACCAATTGTTTTCCATTTCCTTCTTCCGCGTGCCTTGTTGCTTGATTGCATGTATAATGCGCTGAAAATTTCATGCATTAGTAAACGAAAATTACTCGGTTAACGATTCTATCATTGACCAATGAAGAACAACTTGATAATGCTGTCAATTACACTAGTCATTATGTGAGAGGCTGGCTCTTGCAGTTATTTCCAATGTTAATAAAAGTGGATCGACCGGGACGACCCGAGAACTGGTAAGTCGGTCATATAACTGATCCGATTGAAGTAACGGACCAGTCATGCATCAGAATCGGTGTGATCCGGCCGGTTTTTATGAAAATTGGTGTCTCAATCGGTTAATCGGTGACCTGACACTGTCCCAAAAAAAAAATTCCAAAATTTCTTTTTTCAAAACAAATCGTAATGGACATATTTGAATATTTTTTTGCTTATTGACTTACATAAGTTATGTACCTAGCTACAACACTAATATTATCTCAATTATGCATTATGCAGAAAATTTTGATTTGATTTATAGTTAGAGATGTCGTTTACTAAACCTCAAGCCCCGTATCATGATCATTATATTTTTGTTTGATCCTTTATTGATAATAATATGTGATTTATTATTTTTTATATTAAAATATTTAAAAAAATTATCATTTTTTTAGATATTTGAGTATGTTTATAATTTTTTAATATAAATTATAGAATTGCATATAATTACCGGATCATACGGTTGAACTAATGATCCACTGATTGACTCGGTGACCCAGTATTTCTATCGGATCAATGACCGGACCAATTTTAATGTCATTGATAATTTCAAATGTGTGCATAGTTCACTGTATTTTCATCTTTTAATTAAGTTTTTTTTTTTTGGGTACATAATTAAGTTTTTAAATTTGTGTGACAAGTCAACAAATAGGTCAAATCTAAGGCATGGGCATTTTCCACAAACTTAGTTTCTTAAAGAAAATTATTATCAATTTATTAAAAGATTATTAGAAGGATGAGGGTGGCAGGAATTAAACACTCCACCACATGGACACAAAGACACTAACATTATATAAGTAACTAATTCAATTCAAAATATTTAATTATTAGGTGAAAGCAGACGAATAATGTTATATTTTATATTTTAAAATACAAAAACACATAATTAACAAGAAATTAATTTGAGAATTTTTGTATCTTTAATTTAATTTTAACCCCCAACACACTTAACTTTTCTCGTACTTCAATGTATATGTTTTTGAATCTTACATCATAATGGCCTGTTCAACCAATCAATTTTAAATTGGTTATGTCTTCGATTTGATTATTCTTTATCATATTATTCATTTCCAATACGATACAATTACTAATAAGATGAACTAATTGACCTTGATTTTATAAGGCTTGTTGATTCCATATTTAATTTAATTTTATAAAACATTAACATAGAGAGAACAAATTAAATGATGAGAACTGTAAACTGAAAATGTCTTTTCATTTGTTTTTATCCCGACTGTATGAGATAAGATAAAAAAAAATTTGACTGATTCAGTTGTTGTATGAGATATTATAAGAAAATGAAATAGAAGTATAGATCATAAACATTCGTCAAATAATAATTAGCTAGGTTTTTTTTTTCAGCAGAATTGTTTGCTATTAGGGGTAAAATTGTCCTCTTCACAGGTTACCCCCATTAAAATAATAAAAATAAGTTAAGCCCTAGATCATATATTTTTAAAGGAAGTTAATCAATAATTAACATAAATGGATGATGGAATCATTTCTCTCGATAACTGTAGTAATCACAAATAAATTAATATATATAATTATTAAGTTTTATATACTCCAAACAAACATTCCCTCAAACCACATTTTGATGACACCAACAAACAAACAAATAAATCCTTAAATCTCGAGCTAAGACAGTCCTGACAAGAGATTCGGAAACAATTAATTGATTATAGTTTTCTTCCTTCATATTCTTATTGGTAATGGCACAGTATCAAATATCAAGGAATGAAGGAATAATAGGCATAGCTAGGAATGCCTTTGTCTTGGCCGTACTCCCAAATCTTTGTCGTAGATGTGGTGTTTTTTTCTTTCTAGAGCACACATGACATACCCACCTTTTCTTCCCCCTAGTCCCCCACCCTTTTCTCATTTTATTTTCTTTGATTTTCCTCCATGCCGGCCTTCCCTAGAAACAAACACCTCTTGTGCACCACTTCTTTCTTGTCCTTACCTTCTTTTTCAGATATTCCCCTTTTCTCTCATCCATTTGTTCTTGTTTGCTTATTAATAATTTGGAAAAATTTCAAAAAATATCCTTGTAACTTTTCTTATAATCATTTATCCCCTCCTTAAAATTTTGCATCATTTACACTCTGATTTAATTTTTTTTTTATCATTTACCCTCCTAAGTGAGGGGGGTAAGTGATAAAAAAACTTTAAATCAAAGAGATAAGTGATAAAAAAAAATCTAAGTAAAAGTGTAAATGATTCAAAAAATTTGTGAGGGGGATAAGTGATAATTAAGAAAACTCATAAAGGGATTTTTGAAGTTTTCCCAAATGATTTTTAGAAAAGTCTTAAACTTATATCATTGTGTTAAGCAAGTTTAAATTAGAATAATGTATGGAATATGATATTATGTCTATTTATTTTTCATGTTTACTTTATTTATTTATTTTCACTATTAGATAACTCATTCATTCTTTTTCTCTCCTACTGCTGTTAATTGAGATTATAATTTAACAGTATGAAAAAAAGAAGATAGAACATACATAAAAAAAAATAGACATATTTACAAAAAATAAAAATAAAAAAATAGACATAATATTTTATCTCATAATATACTACATTTAGAAATTTTGTCAAAATTCACCAAAAATTAATTGTCAAAAGTCAATAATAATTCTTAAATAAGTCAAATTTGTGTGAATCATTCATTCTTTTACGAAACAATAATGTTAAATTATTACTAACATTTATGGCTAACATTGCCCAAACAGAATTTAAACCAACGAGTATACGCAACTTGTGAGTTATAAAGTTTTTTTTTGGGTCCAATATATGTACTAAAATTAACAAGCTACTAAATGGGCAAAGTTATTGCTAAAAGCAATTGCTAATTAAACACGTAACTAAAAGTATGTGCTAATT